GGCAGCGAGAGGGGAAAGAAATATAACAAGGGGTGGGAAAGTGAGAAATATAGAAATGGTGAAGAATAGTTAATTGAAGTAGAAAGAAATTTACAAATTGGGCAATCCTTCTTAAAAAACAAAATCAGACGGATCAGAATGTTAAATAAGATGAAATTAGTTTAAACTAACATTACATAATTGTAAATTTACTGTTAGAAATTCCTATTACAATTATATGAAATGAACGGCGTATTTTTCAGGTTTTGAAAGGACAGAAAGAAACGAAGAAGAAGAAATGTTTAATAAAATTAGTTACAATGCAACTGAATTAAAGTTTATAAATTATTCATTGGAATTTGATTGTTGATTCATAATACTTAGGAGTGGAACGTATTTTACATATAATTTGCCCGAAGACAGAAAAGACGTTTTCTCACCCTCGACCTATGCTCTTTGGCGTGTAATTTAAAAACCATAATATTTTGCTTTCCTGTTTATTAACCTTTCATCACGGTGTCATTAGAATTTTAGCACCAATTTCACGTCAAATTGCTTGAAGAATTAAACAGAAGCACGATAATTAAAAGGAGAATATAAATTATTTCTTAATAAGAAATTAGGATTAAAAATATTTAAGTAATTCTCCTATATGTTTGAATGGTTCAATGAAATAAAAAACAATTAATCCATATACGTTTCGTACTCATAGTAGATTGTAGTAATTATTTTAATTAATTATACTTTTTATCTAATGTCTTGGTCGAAATGAAAAAGTTAGTGTGTCACGAGCGAGATTCGTACCCACAACCCTTCGGCTCAATACGCCCGCTGGTGGCACACTAACCTTTTCATTCAAGAGCGGGTTCGAACCCCGACGGCGTATTGAGCCGAAGGGTTGTGGGTTCGAATCCCGCTCGTGGCAATAAATTTTTCATCCACTGTACACACCAAAATTGGGAGAGGAAATGTTAAAAAAATAGTTGGTTGGTTCTTCGTTAAAACTTACGAAGTTCTCATCAATCGCTTCTATCTTTAAGCACTAAGCCTCGTCCGAAATTAACTCATGAAAAAGAACATGCATTCCCGCAAATTTCGAAGGCAGTTGACAAATACGGAAGGGTGTAATAGTTAACAATGAGCATACATCCTGGCAGCCGACTTAGAACTCATATTAGCCATTCCGTACATTAAGCGAATGCCCGCTTACTCCTCATTCGCCTATTTTCTAGTGACATGCGATACGAGAAATTATTCGATTCCAGTACTCGATACTGGTTCTATCGAAAGAAAAATTCGATACTAGTCAAGAATCGACAGAAATTATTCGATACTAACGAGTACAGTCGTAATAATCAACTTACTCACTATCGACTTGTGGGTAAAATACGCTCATGCGTTAATAAACAAAAATTTGCAGTTTTTTCATATTTTTAAGTATTTTTTCATACAGGTAAGAACAAAGAAAAGCTGTCAACACATTTCAACAAAATTTTATCGTTATTTTGTTTTGAGAAAATTGATCAACGAGTGTTTTCTTTTCAAATGTTTGAAAAAATTAGGCGTATTCCCGCACAGTTTATAATATGCCGACGATTAATTTTTCTTAGTAAAATAACCTCATGTCTTACTTTTGGGTGGAGGCATGATTAAGTATCTACCTATGAGAAGGAAGGGGAACATTTTTTAGGAATTTGAAGACAAAAACATTTTGTAGGAATGACTGAAATTAAAAGTGCGAGGTGCGACGCGCGAATGAATTATGAGGTACTAGAATTATCAACAGAGTTACCAACCATCAATTCGAAATCTCAATTCGTTGACAGATGCCGCTTTTAGGCTCTCCTAACAGTAACTAGTCAACTCCCAGTTTGATGAAAGGTATGTTTAGAATGGAAAATAACAATTCAATATTACTTGAACACCTGACAAAAAATCTATTAACCTAAGACTACGTCTATCGAATGACAATATTCGATACCAAAAGTACTCGGTATCGAAAGAAAATACTCGATACTTTACTCATATCGATTGGTATCGCACGTCACTAGTATATTCTAGTCATTTTCAGGGCAAACTGAGTTAACAGTGATGACGTTTCATGGTTCACTTCAGCTGTTACAATGGCTCATGAATGTTCTTGTTTCATTTCATTGAGGACTTTGAATCTATCTTCCTTCTTTCAAGCGATTTACTAACAAGTCAAAACTTAGAAAATTCGCCAAAAATCATGGCCCCAGTGCCCATGAGGTGGCGTTGTTGAAAACATGTTTAAAAAAGTGTTTTCTGGAAAAAAATGGTTATTATATAAAAAATCGTATATTGGCAAAGGGGTTAAGATTGGTCTTATTATATTCAAAATCTAATGCTTGGACAGGTCTTTCTCGATACGTATTTTAAGACATTGAGCCATTTGGGAGTAATTTTTCAAAAAATCTAAAAAAACACGGTTTTTACATTTTTCTCATAGAAGGCCTCATTTGAGAATCTATGTTTATAAGAAATTTTTTGTTTAGCAAGCAATTTTCTATAAATCCTCAAAGTACCTTCTTTTCGTTTTGGCCCACGGTGTATATTCATATTTGGAGGCCGGAGGTTCCACCAGTTCTCGAATGGTGGGAGAAAGTTTGAGAAGAGAGAGAGAATGGTGGTGGGGCGTTAAGCCCCTTCGAATATACAATTTGATTTTATACCTTTGCAGAATGGACAGTGACAATGTTGTGCGTATTATTTTCGGCAGAAGGCGTATAAAATCTGATAGTAATATTTGAAACGGCATTCCCGGAAGAAAACAATAGCCCGATTTCATGACAGAAACGAAAACTTCCTCGTTGTGGCCAACTTTCTTTTCAACAAATTTCATGAATTTACCAAGCGTTTTTTTAATAACGTGCAAGCAGTGTGAATCGCTTTGTTGCTATTATATTGTAACATAAATTAATAAATTTTTAAAAATCGTATGTAAATTGTATGGGAAACAAGTAAACGAATATTCTATATATTTTTGTGCTTGTAGTTAGCTGTAAAAAAGTGGAACTTTTTTTTTTTATTAAGTGCACAGTGGGTGCTGAGAGCGGAAGTGATGTGAAAAATTGGGAGGGGCGATCGCCGAGTTTGAATATTGTTTGTGACGAGGACACGGGTGATCGTAATATGTTGTTCTTCGTCATGCCAGGTTCCTGTGTATAAACATGACACGAGATCGTGATCATTTCAAAATGTACGCCGGCTGTCGGTCAAGTCACAACTATAAAAATTGCGTTTTATCTCTACGTGCCTTCAGTCGGCCCTCGCCTCCCTCGCAAATCCGCCGGACGCGATGAACTGGAAGTTAATCCTGTTCTCTGCGCTCTTTGTTCAGGTAGTTTCCCATGCTGGACTTTATAAAAATGATTTTGGTATAACTAACTGTTTTGTGATTTTAGTCAGCTTTGAGCCATTCGTGCACCTTGGAGCCGGACTCTTCATGCGAGTGTCCGCCCACACAGACGGCAGAATGCACGACGTCCTGCCCGTCTGGTGAAGTAGCCTGCACGTGCCAGTGTCAAGAAGAATGTCCAGCTCACGACCAATGTCAGCAGAACGACGGAAATTCAGTCTGCAAAGTCTGCGATTCTCCGTGTGAAGAGTGTTCGACGGTCGATTTCGGCTCGTGCTGTTTACCGGGTCCCTGCCCGCGGACTGGGGCGCCCGTATGTACATGTGATTTGAAATCTGAAACAGTCTGCCTCTCTCAGCCACCCTGTCCTTGTGACAATAACAACTGCCCGTGCGACTTCACCACTACTTTACCCAACGTCCCTTGCAAGAAGATCTGTCTTTCCCAACCGTGCTGCGATTGTGAAGTGTCGTGTGATGACAAAGGCTGCTTACCTGAAAAACAAGACACTCTTTCTCATTGTGATTGTGATTTACAGTCCCAACTTCAGAACGTCGACTCGTGTGCGACAACGCCCGACAATCAATTCTATCTGCCCGAACAGTCTTTCCACTATGAAACAGATAACCATTCGCCTCTTTACTCACCCGACTATTTTCGTACCTGTGCCGATAAAGAAACCTTCGCCCCTGAATTGACCTGTCCTTTTAATTGTCTCGACGGCCAAGGCGTGCTTCCCTTTGCTTGTCCTAACAAACGCTGCTGTACTGACCAACCGCCTTGTGCAGCTAAGCTTTTGTCGCCGTGCTCAGGAGACTGCGTTAAACCTTTTTGTAGTTTCAACCTTCTGCCTTGTTCTTCTAAAGATACTTGTACTTCACAAACTTGCCTCGATTCGTCGCAAAAGTGCGAATCTCATTCAGTCTGTCCTTGCACCCCTGAATGCCCCCAGACTGTGACTTGCTCACAATCTCTCTCATGTCCTTGTCAATCTGTGCTTCCAGAATGTCACGTGAAAAAAGTATGTTTTAATCAACTTTGTCCCTGTGCGACGCAGACCTGCTTCCGTCCAGTCTGCTCCTGTGAGCAGTCCTGTTGTAAAGCGCCTTGCTCTGTGCCTTCCTGCCCTTGCATGCCCGTATGCCCGTGCAGGCCGTGCTGCTGTCCCAAATTTGTAACTGGAGTGCGCCCAGTCGTAGAAGAGTGTATCCGGCATATACCGATCGTCAGAAATAGGATCAAACAGCACCACGAATTCGTGACGAGGGAAATCCCTATCGTCCAAAATCACATCACACACCAAGAAGAACAGATCGTCCGGCATGTCCCAGTCGTCCAGAAGTGCCTCGAGCCCGTCATGGAATCCAGGACCCGCCACGTGCCCGTCCTTAGGCAGAAAATTCGAACTGTCGTCGAACCTTTCACAGAGCACGTCCCTCTGACCGAAAACAGCATCCGCCAAGTCGAAAAATGCTTGATCCGACAGGTACCGATTTTTGAGAAACGCTGCATACCCGTCGCCCTTCAGACCGTCCATAAAATACCAGTCACCGAGAGAAGATGCAGGCCAGTTGTCGAGACCCAACTCACTCAGGTGCCGGTAAAGCAAAAAGTAGTAAAGAACATTCTCTTCCAAAGGCTGTGTACTCCTTGCCAGTGCTGTCCACAAGCCTTCTGCTGCCCGTGTTGCAGCCAATGTGGACCCTGTCCCCTGTCACCCTGTTCGTGTAATTTTCCGAGTTTTCAACCTCCCTGCTGCGCGCAAAATCCCTGCCTCCCTTCCAACTGTGCCAAACAACCCTGCTGTTAGATATCACTTTATTTATTTATTTGTAGTTTTTGTATTTAAATAAAAATTGTAATAACAAATCTCGATTTTTATTCAATCTTTCAACAAATGTTACTCACAATGGTTCATTTAAACAAAATATTTGGAAAAAAATATGGAGATTCTTAAGATTTTATTTGAGGGTCTCAGTAATATTTTCTTGAAAAAAAAAATACTATATTATCTCCGATTTAATTAATAATATTCACTATTTGATATCATTTTTATATAATTGATAAAATAAAATTTTAAATTGATTTATTATTATTAATTTACAAGTTTAACAAAAATAATAAACATTTATTAACAATATTGAAATTTTTGGCTTCAAGAATACTAAAATAAGTAATTGAATTTATAGTGAACGAAGTCGTCCGTTAATAATATACAAAAACATAACCTCCATCCGGCTATCCTATACTGACAGTTTGGTTCCCGATTACTCATCGTCAACAAGACAAGAGGATCTTTAACGTCCGCACCTGGCTCATGGCCTTATCGGACGTTTTGATTCTCAAGATGAGAGCTGACGCACTTCTGCATACGACGGAATGGTGTTACCGCCGCAGCATTGGTGTAGTGGTGTCCCGGCCCCTCGTCGGTAGCCATGCTCTCCGCTTGTCCACTCCGAATGGTCGGGCCCGCATTGTGCGTCGGGTCGTACGCCGCACGCGAGGGGCTAACGGGCCGAAATACATCAGCCCGTCCCCCCCCTCGCGTACTCCCTAGATAGAGAAGGCAACTCTATCTCTCTGAGTAGAGGCTCCTCCAGGTAGAAACTTCCGGGAACGCCCCGACAACGGTTTCGGATTATAGTGGGATTGCTACCCACCCCCTAGATGAGCACTGTCTACGGTAAAAAGTCTCTTATCGAGCTCAGCCTACACCTGCTGCACGCTTTCGAGGGACGCCATAGGTCTAGCCTAGGTGGTCCGATCCTTCGCTTCCCCAAGGGTACCACGCCGGTCATACGCACAACAATGCAAAGCATACTCGAGTCAAAGACGCCGACTCACTACCCTTTTCCAATCGCTTACTTACGCATTCGAGGGACTGTAGCATGATCATGACGTCCTCAACGCTTACATGCTGTCGTCCGGTCGCAACGTCTCCCGTGAGGAACGGGGGATAATACATTGGCCTACGCAAGCTTCACGAAAGGTCCCAGATAGAAGACAGCCTCTGTCTAAGTTCCCGCCAGGGGCGTCACACAAGCCACCACGAGTCCATCCCAATGTGACAAGGGCTGGTTTTTGAAACAGTTCTGTCACCCCGTGGTACCGATGGCCATACAACCCTCCCCCGTCTTTGCAGACAGGATCTGGTGCACTGGCCCTCGTGTGACTCTGCTAAGGCACCTGCCGCCCCTGCCGACCCTAAGGCCGACATAAGACAGCTTGTGCCTTAGAGAGGTTGCCACGCCCTCTGGGCTGCACCATTATTTTGTGCCCGGATACCCCCCTTGTAACCAAGGGTTAGGAGGGGTCACAGGATAGAATGAAGGAGTTCGGATTGAGAAAAGGGGCCGTGGAAGAGAACTCGAGGTGAGCCGTTTCGGGGTCTCGAGTCTCAACCACATTATACCACCCGTTGTCGCCGTGGTTCCACATAGAGTGGGCCATGACACCCATGGTGGGTGATCCTATACTGACAGCAAACACAAATACCTTTTTAATGTCTGTAGAAATATTCATAATTTTTTTACGAAGGTATTTCAACTACGAGGTTATAGAACCCGCGGGGTAAACTGTTCAAACAATTTATAGATCAAATGAATAAAATAAATAAATAAAATAATACTCATTTTAAAATCAATTGTTGTGTAAAGTCTTAGCTGTATTTTTTAAAATTAAATCAATAACCCGTTCTTTTTTCTAGTGCCATTTACTGAAAATAAATTTTCGCTGGATCCAGAAGAAATACAGCAATTATTACCGTAAAATGTTCAAGTTTACGAAATTCAAAATTATGCCTCCGGCAAATTTTCTTTTGTTTATCGATCATTTCAAGAAAACGTTATTTATTTTCATCGACGTCATTCACAAAACTGCAGAAGACGATTGTGCGTTTGGTTCGAATCAAAATATTTATATTTTCATTTCGAACCAGTTCAATCTAGTTTCTGTTGTTACGAAAACTTTAAAAATACAGGTAAAGGCTGAAAACCCGTTCACTTTTTTTCTATTAAACTTTCATATGAATTAACTGAAAGCAGCAAAAACATGGGTTAATATTTTTCTATGACTATATTAATATCTCCTATATTAATAATAATTATATTGTATATATTAATTTTAATACAACGCAAACCAGCTTTACATTGGAGCTTTGCGGGTTAGCATATCCAGTTGTTATAAGGCTCCAAGAATATTTTTCCTACGGAAATGGTTGATCGTGAGATTTTCCCCAATTTGATTTCTTATCATTTAGTTCTGTCTATCTTCCCCTGGGTTGGTATGTTCGATGCGTTTGGGAACTCCGTCATTTTCAGGTGTGCAATCAAGTCTCTTTTATAAGATCGTTGTTTGGGATGCGTGTTTTAATTTGGGGCCACGTGGGCATAAGACTGGGTTTTTTAAAGCATTTTTTAATGTTCTTCTTTGTTTTTAATTTTTTTAGTGTTAAACATGTTGATTTTGTATATTTCCAAATTTTAAAGTATGCTCATTTTTCGTATATATTGTACAATTCACTAATTTCGTGGTCCGCTTGACCAATTAATCTCAACTAAAAACCTAAATTAATTGTAGTATATTGTACAATATTTTTCATGCTTGTCTGTATCTCCGACTGTAGTCCTTATCTCATCTTCTCATGAAGTTCGCAATTATATACCAAATTTATGCTTCTGATGAATTGCAACTACAGATATGGTTATCCTTCAGGTTGAATATTTTGAAATATATAACGCATTTTTCTCATGGTCATTAAACGCCGAAGTAAGCTTGTAGGTGTGCGAGAACTAAATGTGGATACGCCCTTCGATGGCTTAGAGAAATCTTTTTCTATGGGTTTCCGGATTAAAGCTGTTCTCACTATTAGGAACTTTACTCCACAATGTCGGAAGCATAATTTAAAAAAAGCAAGAACAAATTCGACGCAGCGTTTTGCAAGTTGATCAGTTTCAACATTGCCCTTAGTTTGGATATCCCAAATCCTGTGCTACGATAAAACGTCTCTACTGCTGAAAGGTGGACACATCGGCTAATGTACGAGTTATTCCTTTATTACTGCCCTATGAATAAATGTGTTTTTTTATTTTGAGTACCATTCCGACGCCCTGCTCAGCATGATTATTGTTGCACTACACAACTTTTATATTTTTGGAATGAATCGGAGCGATGTGATATCAGTAATATCAAGGCATATCATAAACTACCCTCCATATACGCCAGGTAGCATGGCTTCCTTCAACAGCTCAATGAGGACGTCTGATTTCGCAGGGTGCATCAGCTAGTTCATTTCAACGTTATTCTCTTTACGCGATCTAATCACAACGTATTTGTAACTATAGTTGGTTAAAACTACGAATGAAGAAGTATCAAAATTATTATTACGGCGCAATGAAACGGTATTTTTTGACTATGAACATCAGCAAACCATGGTAAACACATATAATGCCATTTATCAATGCTTATCATTAAACAGTTTTTTATATCACTCATATTTTCTTTTCTTGGGCAGTATTAAAAAGTGGTGAAGATATAATGAGCATATCAGTAGTTAGTGATCGAGGAAGATTCCACTTGGTGTTCAAAAGGTCTTCAACATCCAGAAAGATTGTTTCAGGGTAATATTTTTTCCACACTGTCCAGGCTGTACAATGGGGAATAAGAAAGAGTGAGAGCAACATATAGATAAAGATATAGAGATCAACAGATAGATAGAGAAGGGGAGTGTGTGTGTGTGTGTGTGAGAGAGAGAGAGAGAGAAAGAGAGAGAGATTGAGAGAGAGAAAGAAAAAGAGAGAGAGAAAGAAAGAGAGAAAGGGAGAGAGCGAGAGAGAGAAAGAAAGAGAGAGAGAAAGAAAGAGAGAAAGGGAGAGAGTGAGAGAGAGAGAGAAAGAAAGAGAGAAAGAGAGAGAGAGAGAGAGAGAGAGAGAGAGAGAGAGAGAGAGAGAGAGAGAGTATGTGATTTTGTTTATTTAACCAAGAAAAAAACACATTTCTCTCGTGCAAACCTCGCTTGCTTTACAGCTAGGCAGATTTGCATAACCAAACTTTTTAAGGGGATTAATACAATTCAATTGACTTTTTTTACTGAATTAATGCCTCAGTCAACCAATAAATTTAGGGCCCTCTTTGAATAGTCTTAAATTGTTTTACTATATGTGTTTCTTCGTGACGAGTTGTTATATAATTTGTTGAAGTCGTGAGGAGCGGTCAAGAATGAGGTAGTTAAGAAATATAACTTTTTTATTATCTTGCCGACGTTTCGTCCTTTATCCGGGTTATCTTCAAGACTTGGATAAATAACAAAACATGTGTTCAAAAAATAGGATTTTTTATTCAAAATATAAATTTCGAACCAAGTATTTCATACTCACATAAAAAGTGGTGCTATTCTTGTGGTGTCATATTCGTTTTGTGTGCAAGTGTTGTGAAACATGAATTTGTATTCTGCTGTTTTTATTGACTGTGACAAAGTGGGGGACGCGGTAAATTTACTTTTCTTCAACAAATTGTTTTATATATATTTTAATTTACTAATTTATATTTGCAGTAATTAATTTTATCCGGAATTATTTAAACCTTGTACAGTTCAGTCATTCTTAACCTTCTTTCTTCACTTGGAATTTAAATATAGTCAGTTCATTATTAATTTTTTCAAGTATAAATTATATATGTAATACCATAACTTTTATTTATTATAACCACCACACGAAGTTTCATCTTGCTTTTCCATCTCAACCCTCCCCATCACAATCCAAATGGTGGTACAAATAGTACTAATGCTGAAAAGACGGAAACTCTATTGAAAAAAGCATTTATGTTTTTTATGCTGCATCCAGCTTGTATTTAGCAGTCAAGCATTCAACAGTAGATTAGATTCACGGAATCACTAATTTATAGAGAAAGCTCTGGAATTTTCATATACATGGTCAAATGGCCTTTGGCAAGTTTCGGCATGAAGGTTTAACGCAAAAGCTGTAAATAATATTCCCAAAATGTGTAACTTTTGGTCTCTTACTTTTTGGAAATACACTGAGAGACAAAAAAGTGGTCAGGCTTAATGTTTTTAATTGATATTTAGACAATCCTCCATTGATTATCTTCCAACAATGTTTGCTTCTTTTTAAAAGATTATAGGTAAATAAAACACCGAAAAAGTTCCCACTTGTGTTTATAATTGGATTTTGTAAATAAATCAGTAAATGGCCAATTTCTTCTTTATTGATTTTTCTGTAAAGCTTCTTTACGGTGCTTGCGGTGGTTTGATTTTTTTATGTTGTACTAATTTTCATTTTTTAATTTGATTGAGTGTTGGTTGTAAGTGATACAGTTTCGGCTAGAATCATAGCGTTGTCAGAATACGGAAGAAATATGGGGCCAGGGTGCTTAATATTCCAGAACAACTGCCCGAAGGGTCTTCCATCGCTACCAAGATCCTGGAGGTTATTCAAAAAGCATAGATCAGGTCGTCATCGTGTCACATCTCAGAGAGATTTTATTGTTTCGAATGTACTCGTAATTGACATTCTACCACTGTTGGGATCAAGCAACGGCTTCAACAAGTTTGTTAATGTTAACGAGTTCAACATTTGTTAATGCCAGTTTACGCACTGTAAGGCGAAGATTTTCAGAAGGTGGATTACGTGGGAGAAGGCCTGCCTCTGGTCCAGAAAGTATGACAAGACAGAGCAGCTCAGTTAAGTTTCGCAAGAAATCTCATCAATTGGTCTGAGCAAGATTAAACTAAAAATTTGTTTTCGTATGAGTCAAGGTTTTGTCGTTGTATTGGTCTGGGCTGGGATTTACACTGTATGACAAACTGGACTCAATATTGTTGAAGACAACCTAACCGCAGTCCGTTATCCCAATAAATTATCGAAGAATACAGCCCTCAAACCAAGGTTCTAATTGACAGGGATTTTCGATTTCTGGACGACAATGCGATACCTCATAGAAGCAGAGTTGTTTATAAAAATTTCCCATCTGCCCCTTCCCCCATTGTCTCTATTAAGCACATGTGGAATGCGTTGCACAGATTACCATCCGCAGCCAGTTGACCTGCACCAATTGAGTGCAGCGTTGCTACATCTACGGGGTGAAATTCCTTATGAAATTATTAACAACCTTATTTACAGAATGCTTAACAGGTGTACAGAGGTTTTAGCTAACAAAGGACATTGTACACATTGTTTTAAAAAGTTATTGTGTCCAATAAACAAAATTATGGAATTAAAACTGTTTATTTTGTTATTTTTCAAAACCCCTTAATTAAATTTGCTTTCAGTCAAAACATAATAATTTCTAAGAAACTTTAATGCAATTTATAAGAAAAATAAAACAAAAATGCTAGGAAAAATTGGACATATCCATATTCATTTTTAAGCAGTTAATTTTAATTAATTATTCTTTTTACGTAAGGTTTTGGCCGAGATGCAAAGTTAGTGCCAACGAAGACATTAGATAAAAAGTATAATCAGTATTATTAACCTTAAATAAATATTATAAGAATATTATCAAATAAATGTTATTATTGATTCAAAAAATGTTGAACTGATGTTACATGGGAGAGTTAAGTCTATTATCATTTTGGAGCCAAATTTTATAAAATCTAATGATTTGTAGAACTTGAGAGGAGAAAAGATTCCACATTCTTTGAAGTACCTATTAATTTTGGCTACATTCCACTACCCGTGTTTCCAGCATTCATTTATAACTTATTATTCGCTTTGCTCTGGCCAAATTCAAATAATAAATTAAAAACACAATTGAAAATCGCAATGCAGCGTGTGTTTCCTTTGTCATTACAACTTTTTTTAGTATTTTAAGATCATGGTTGACGCAACCTGATTGAACCGGTCATAATCATGATCTGTTATGTTACCCTATTTTCAGAAAATAACACGCGGGCACGTTGCCATTTCGCACTTTCCTATTTTTGTTTTCGATTTCGAACTATTTGTTTATTTGGTTCACTTCGTTGTTTTGAACTTCCTCAATCCCCTTTGCCCTGTTTGTTTTAATTCTATGACAAACATCCACCTGGGTTTGTCCAGTAATAAATTCCTGAACTTTTTCCTGTTTTTAAATTCATAACTAAATCTTTCTATAGTTTACAACGCGTATGTTGTTTTTAATGGATCATATTAAAAAAGAAGACAATTTAAAAAATTATAAAAAATATTTATTAAATATAAAAAGGCCTATGTACACTAGTTAACAACATTTTGGGAGTTTTTTTTATAAGTTATTGCCCTGGTGCGAGCGCTAAAGTAGGTGCTTGGGCGGGTTGGGCGTCAGGAAGAGCACCGGATGGGGGAAGCGGAGCAGCGCCATTGGGAAGAGCGGGCATCTGCGGGGCTCCGGGAGGAAGGTAAGGCAAAGAAAGAGGGAGGCACGAAAGGCCCTGTAGGCCTTGGAGAAACTGTAGCGGCGGGAGTCCTAACAATTGGAGAAGCTGAGGCAGACACGGAAGCGGAGAGGGATGAGGAGGAACGCAAGGAAGATGCGCAGGAGCCGGAGCCGGCGAAAAGCCGAAAGTAGACGGCAATTGAGGGGCTGCCGATCCAGGGAGAAAAGCTGCTAAAGCACCCAAACTGGGAAATAAGCCTCCGGGAGGTAAGGCCGGGAGATGAAGTCCCGGCGGACAGAGACAGCACGGCCCTTGGACAGCTTTCACCCTCTGCTCGACTAGGTTCTTAAGGTACCGCGCCTTCACGGGTACGTGAACGATTTGCTGGTCCAAAACCGGCTTCAGCCGTTTTTCTAAAATTGGAAAATGACGGATCTGTTGGTGCATGACAGGCCTGGTGCGCTTTTCTATGATAGGGACGTTACGGACGATTGTCTCTTCGACGGGCCTCGTGAACTTCTCGGTGACGGGGACATGGCACGTGTAAGGCTCAATGACGGTTTTCGCCCTGTGTTTGATAATCGGCACGTGAACCGTAAGAGTCTCGACGACGGGCCGGGTGAACTTTTGCATTACGGGAACGTGTCGGAGGACGTTTTCTTCTTGCTGGGAGATGGTCTTCTCGAGATAGGGCACTTGACGGGCCACTTGCTCCTCCTCGTTACGGATGGTCTTTTTAACAACCGGTACGTTTTGGATGCACTCGTCGACCACGGGGCGGACGACGCTCTCCAACTTGTGCGTCAAGCAACCACAAGATGCCTGTGGTGGAGAAGGAAGTCCGAGAAGCGCCGGGGTGAGTCCTAAGGCCGCCAGATCGACCCCGCCGTACAACGGCAAAGGCACCTGTGCCGACGGCAATGCGTACTGTGGAAGCGAAGGGGAACACGGATGCCCACACGGGCATTGCGGTGTACAGGCGGTCACCTAAATTCAACAAAATTATCATAAATCCATGTAATAGAACGATAAAGACTGGAGCTCCTATCGGTTACCTTCAGGACGGCCGCTGCGAAAATTATCTCGATAAACATTCCGTTCCGAGAGATAAAGTAGATTGTGACTCGGCCCATTGTCTCCCAGTATATATATACGTGTCTGAATATCGGGAAAGATCACGCTCATCGTGCCCAAACATAAGGCGCTCGCCGGGCCGGCCGTGGCAGGATCGGCCATCCTGTCAACAATTTCCCAAGGTCCGTGAAAAGACAAACAATTCATCCCGCACGCGGGAAAATCTCTAAAACAACCTCCCCTTGTACCTAATATTTGAAAGGGGTTTTTACTATTAAATAAACCTCCGTCACGTTGTTTGTATTGTACGAGTAAATAAAAGGAATTTGATTATTTTTTATTGACTGTTTTTTTTAATTAGCATTCTTTCTCTTAAATTCTCTTGTTTCTAAATACCCCCCTCTCCGCTTTGTCAGTTTCTACTGTTATTTATTTAAATTTTGATTTAAATTTTATCTTGGAGCTTTCCTCTCGTGATGTACCACTCGATGCGTCCGTCGACGCCTCGACGCGTTATAACGCCGATTTTTTAATACAGACTCCTTTTATACCGAAATGTTATCGAAAATCCGTGTGTATAATCATTTAGCTGGATTGTTTAGTCTTTTGACTCACATAGTTCGGATAAGGGAGAAAGACGTGAGGTCATCGAAGAGGCCATCGACCATGCTACCTTCGCCTTTGCAAATAGTCGACGCTTTTTATACGCCAAATCGATTTTAAACGAGTATTTTCACGTCACAATAACATAACTTATTAGGATGAAATATAAAAGAGAACAATATGAAAAAACGACGTTTTTATTTACATAAGATGTTATAATAATAATATATTAATACAGGGCTTACCAAATAAATTTAAACATTCAAACCATCTTTAAAATATCAATTGAACCAGGTAAGTATGACAAAACAAGACTTTCATTATCTCAAACCTGGAAGAATTTTATAAGCAATAATCTTATGTTCTTTTCCTCACCAAACACATATATTAAACGAACTTGGACTTTATTCTTAAAACAGTGGAAAGTCAAGGGGAAAATACATTGACAATACATATCAAATAATGAAATCTAATCAAGGTAACAATAACAAAAAATTATTTTCGGCAATTAGTCGTGTTACTGTAAAAAATTAACTAGTACTGCTAAAAAAAGTACTTAGTACAAAATCTTTCATAAAACATCCATGATATAATAGTAACAGTTGATTACCATCGATATTCAATTGTTCGATCATATCTCATTAACGTTTATTTGTAGGTAGATATTCAGTAAAAAAACATCAACATAATCTTACAGTTATAAAGTAAGGCATTAAATGGACAAGGACGAACAAACTGACAAATCGTAACAACAGGCAGACAATTATTAAAAAGAAAAACAAATCATTGTTGATACAAACAATGTAATCAGAAATGGCAAACCGACGGAAAGCTACTGATTGAAAGGAATGAAGAAAAAAAATCGATGGATCAGGTTGGTCAGGGATGATCAGACTGCTGAGAAATATTCAAAACTGGCAGACGATATCGATTTATAAAAAAGGAAAAATGGAAAAGACGTCAAAGAGACATTCATTGAAGATGGCAAAACGATTAAATGTGCCGGACAGAACAGATGAAAGGGGAAATAGAAGTTAACGGATAGATCAAATGGTGGAAAAATTGACGGATCAGGTTGATCAATGAAGACGAAACTGCTGGGAAATTTTCAACAACTGTCAGAAAACACACGATCAAACAAAAAGTCAATATTCAAAAAAGAAACGACAGGCAGAGGTCCATTGATGGTGGTTGAATGCCGAAGTCCAATTGACTTAAAGAATAAAGAGATAATTGACAAATCAGATTAATCAGGGATGATCAGACTACTGAGAAATCTGTAAAAAATAGGAAGGCAATACACGACCCAACGAGCGATGTACAAAATAGAAAGAAAAATGCAAATAACTCGCGAAAATTCAAGCAAGAATAAAGACCACACACAGACATCCACTAAAGTTGGCAAAACACTAAAAAGTACTGACTGTAACAACGGAACAGAAAATATACGAATCAGGTATGATCATACTGCTCGAAATTTCCATAAAGCAGTCGATACACAACTGTTAAAATCTATCAATGTAGAAAAAGGAAGAATACAACAGACCTCCACTGCCATTGGTCCATCGCCGAAATTATATCCAGTGAAAATTGAAGAGACAATAAACGGATCGAATTGATTAAGGATAATCCAACAGCTTAAAATTAGTTAACGGTCTGCAGATAATTTTGATAAAAGGCTGCAAACCGTTTAGCTAAAGATAGCTTTTTAACAACGCGAGACAAGGAGGACGAGGATGATCAGGGAGGTTCGAACAGCTAGCAAGATATTGTAAAATTAAGGCTACAAACAAATAATTTAAAATTTATTTACTTTTACTGCAACTGAATCTCCAGGACCTAATCTCGACGTTTCAGAAAACTTATGGAAAGCACCTGCAAAAAGGCATCCAATGAAATTATCCAATTCGAAAATGGCACAACAAAGGCTGGGAATAATCTAGGTCGACAAACTGCTGACAAACATTAAACAACAAGTAAAAAAAAAATCGGGTTTAAGTTTAACGAATGACCTGTAAAAAAAGTGACTTGAGAGTAGTTGAAACTTATTTGATATGTACAGTGCATGAAATGGCGATAGACCGTAAGAAGTAACTATGAAAAATTGCAAAACTGGGCTTTTACCTAATCGTTTTAAGTATTAAAATTGTTTCTTTAAAGTGTTTATTTAATTTTCTTTCTCGCCGTTTGTTCATATTTTTACCAGTGTGGTAGCAAATCCACTTGTGTCCTCACGTCGTCCGTGACACTCCACGCTTTGTGGCATTGGAAGGACAACGAAAAGAACACAAAACACTCCATCAATGGGAGATTGCAAACATGACCGAACAACGACGGTTTGAGGTTATTTGGACAATTTTGGATTTGAGAAAAAAAAAGAAAAGAAACGCTACGTGTGAAATGTAAATAAAATGTGTAACCACATAAGGATTATTATTATTATGTTAGAAATTTTACTTAAATTAATAGAAAATAAAGAAAACTACCCCAAAAGGTTTACAGTATCACATTTTAGTGAAGAACTCGCTTTTCACCCAGGTCCGATTTCTCTCTTTGAGGCTAACATTTAAGGAAGAGATTATGTTAATAAAATTAAGAGTTGTTTCCTTAAAAAAATTTACTCACAAAAAGAATTTAATAAATATGCAAAGAAGAGGGTAAGTAAGAAAACATACATAGGAATTGATAAATTGGTACATACGTTCCAAACTATCAATACATTAAAAAAATTAGCCAATAAAATCAATTTACTCAACTATGAGAAAAAACGGATTGCAAAATTAAATAAAATTAAGCATAAATTTTATAAATTTAAATAGTTGTCATTACATGATAAATGATTATAATTCTAGTAGTTTTAAGTTTAATTTAAAAGGAGTGTTAATTGATTTTTATTTCGAGAAAAACTGCAAATTCCTTTCCTCGATACAGGGATTTAAATTTCACGTTGTTGATTCATATTTTTATTTAATTTTCAACTAGGTCTTTTTGTGCTCTTTTTAGGGAGATATGCTGAGTTGTAGCGCCTCGGAAAATAGGTGGTATTCGTCAAACGTGTGTGTGTGTGTGTTTGTGTGTGTGTGTGTGAGAGAGAGAGAGAGAGAGAGAGAGAGAGAGAGAGAGAGAGAGAGAGAGACACAGAAGCAGAGAGAGACAGAGAGAAAGACAAAGAGAGAGAGAGAGAGAGAGAGAGAGAGGGAGAGGGAGTGAGAGAGAGAGAGAGATAGCGATAGAGAGAATAATTTATTCAATGACTAAATTCCTCTTAGTATAACAAAAAGTTCACAATTTTTTTATAAATCTGGCACTTGAATTAATGAAGGACATTAACAATAAGTAAAATAAGTTGTACTAAATCATATAACACAAAATATAAAAAATAGAAATAATAGTAGAATAATAAAAATTTAGGGAAATGTACTAATAACAAAGAATTTTCGTCTTTTGCGAACATAATCGCAAACTGTAACTTTAAAAGTTGAGAAAAGTAAGGTAAAAGCTTTTTAATGTAGTAAAAGCACTTAATAATATTGTGAACTATTTTGTCGTTGTTTGGAGGGGGATGAGGTGTTGGTACAGGAGGGATTTAAAAGAGGTAAGGGAGGCAGCTTAGCGGATTGTCAAAGGAAGAGAATTCCAGAGATTTGTGAGCTAGGATGGATCCCTCCAACGTGCAGACGAGACGGCGAAAGCTGGGACGTCCTTCCGTCCAGACCGAACTACCGCGACCCGGCCGGTGACGCCTTGCGAGCTGCACAGAATGCTGTCAGAGAGCGTTGGCGGCGTCAGTGCACCTGGTCAAAGCACCTGCGAGCACGAATGAACGAAGACTCTCCGAAAGTATGAAACGAAAGGTTAAGATTCGTGCTAACCCGATTCAGGATCGGCCATACCCGTGTGAAACACGGACACCTTCATTTTCAAATTGATGTATTGGATCTTCTTGAGGTCAAGGTTTGAAGATCCAATACATCAATTTAAACTACGGAGGTCGATCAATATCAACTAGAATTCACCTTCACGGGAGCAAGTAGTCATGAGTCCTGACTTAAGATGGACTCGGGCGAGCGGGTCGCTGTATTGTTTCTGAGAGAAACAGGGGGTGTTTTCTCAAATATAGAAATTATATACTCCTTGTGTACGTGTATATGTTTATGTGTGTATTGTATATGTATATTTTATATAATGTGTAATTTGTAAATTTAAATTATTATGAGTTATTCAGATATCGTGAGATGCGGTCGGGTGTGATGTAGGTTTCAGAAAAACATTTTCTTTATCGTGCCAACGTTTCGATCTTTTATTGAGATCATCTTCAGGGCCTGGGATTTACAAACAATGTTTACATTTAACAAATACATTTAGGATGTGGATAAGTGAATTTATACAATGCAAAATATATTTTATATTCAAACAAAGTATATCTACTCACTCAAAGTGTTTGTCTTCTGTGTAATTGTGCCATCCTTGCGTTGAGAGGTGTTTTTCTGAAACCTACATCACACCCGACCGCATCTCACGATATCTGAATAACTATCGATTAACGGTCACTAATCTCTACACATTATTATGAGTGTGTGGGAGGGCCGTTGGCTGAATATCGAGTACGTCAGCGGTCATTCAGTGGATGGGGACTATAATGACTTCATTATTTAAACCCCCCCCCCCTTCAAAAGTATAAATAAAATTAAACGTTGAAATGTGACGGACAGAACAAGTGAAAAGGAAAATCAGGGATGCTCAATCAGCGTGCCGGAAAATCAACAACTACAGCTAATGTTGTACAAAGAATTGATGTATAAAAAGAATGCAACCATCCACCCATGATGGTTCATCTCTGAAGTACAATTGTCTGAAGAATGAATAGAAAATCGACGGATCAGATTGAGCTGGGAAGATCATACTGCTGAAAAATTAAAGATGGCAAAAACACTGAAAAATATACGGATTGAACTACTGAAGGGAAAATAGACGTATTTGATTGACCTAACTGCTGTTGAAAGCTTCAACAACTGGCATACAATTTATAATCATACTTTCAATAAACCATAAAAAATAACAAAAACAAGAATCGAATAAAAAACTCCAATTTTACATTTTTAAAACAAAAGAAAAAAGATCAACGTCAGAGAAAACAGACACAAAAGGCAGTAGTTTAAGGATAAAACTGCTGACAAAGGTTTTAAAATAATATCAGACCATCAAACCAAACTTTGTTTTTGCTTTAACGACTTACAGAATGCTCAGTTGTTGATCAAAACGGCGTTGGTGGTCAGGATGACTGGAAAAGCTAAAACCAAGTAATTAATTGAAAAAAGTAATAAACTATGGCCACATTAACGTCTAATTTACTAATTAATGCCTTAATTAATGCGAGATAAAAACACAGACATTCATTAAAGATAGTAAAACCGAACCATCGAACTAACGTGAATAATTTTAGATTTAAATACGATAAAGCTGGGAGAAATAAAGAGATATCAAATCTAAAAGCAAAAAGAATAAGATACATAAAAACATACAAAAAAATTTAACGTTACATTTAATAAGACAAATTTTCAAAGGGTTGCTCGTTTCTGAATCAATTTAGCCTGCCTATACATGATGTTCTGGCCTGTCAAAACGTCCAGAAATGACAGAAACTCGCAGAACCCAAGAAGACATTTACAAATTTCCAAAAGTTTTCTTCACTAGGAATAAAAAGGAGAAAGATTTTTGATCGACTTACGTTTATAAAAATGAATTTTTTCTTTCCAACAAATACAAAAAGAAACGGACAAGGCATGCTTTATTATCTCAGATAAGGGAATCGCGATTTCAGCTGTGAAGCGTCACGTTCGGCCTTAGGAGATGAAATGTAAATCCGTCGGTTTTGTGGACGTGTGGTCGGGGTGGGTTATAAGTGGGGAAAAGGCCAAAACATGCCTAATTGTACAAACAACCCTGTAAATAGAATAGGCCCCACTGTTTTATCGATTGACGATTGCCAAACAAATTCGAGAATATGTGATCTTTTCTTTTTCAAAATTGATTTGAGAATTTTTCCTTATTTGACAATACTTATGCGTATCGGTGATAATTAGGGGCATGATCGTGTTTTATCGAGGGTAGACCACAAGTTTGAAAATTTACGAAGAAATAAATAGAAGGAAAGAAACAAATAAAAACCATTACTTTATTTGTTTGCATAAAAAATATATTACCAATGTTAATGAATGTACAGGAGAGGCAAACACACATTTGTCCCGATGTTCTTCCTAAGTCCCATGAATTGTACTACATGGACACTCCACTGAACATATAGGGAATAGATGAAAAAAATGGCTGACATACCAGCAAGGCTAAGAGGACTAGTATGATGGTAAAGTGACAGGTGTGTCGCAAGGGTACTTTCTAAGTCCCACACTTTATCACTATGATATTGAAATACCACACATGAACGTACGTATCTTTAACCCTAAATCTCCAATTTACCTGGAGAAAAGTCTGACAGTCGAAACCAGCGAGGATAATGGAGCTAGGATGCCTGGAGTAGAGCCAAACTGCAGGTTCATCACACAGCAGACCCCAGACAACAATGTTGATTATACAATTACATTTTTGACATTCTACCTCTCAGATTGACTTAAAACGAAGAAAGGTAATGAGAACACCGAGCTTAGAAAAGTAAAATCGGGAGTGTCGCAAGGGTACTTTGTAGGTCTGAGACTTTATTAATCAAATTTTATCAAATTTAAATTACAATTGACCACATTTCCATAAATTTACCTCGTAACATTTGCTGCGGTTCTTAATACCAATGAAAATTGACATATCCCCTTCAATATTTTTTGGATTAAATGCCAAACCCTATATTGTTGATGAAGTGACCCATTTACTCTTACTTTAATAGTAAGCAATTTGCTTTCCAAACTTGGGCAAAGTTTAACCGGTAACATTTAAGCCTTTTATATCTAAATACTAACGAAGAGAGACATACCCTCGTTCTTATTTAATTTTTTAAAGGTAAAGCCCAGTGATGATGAACAATATCTCACACTTTACTAATAATCGGTAGGTTTTTGGCACTTGGAAAAATTTATGCCCGTAACTTTTGCACCTGCTGTATTTAAATAATAATGCCAAATAAAATCTATTCATTCCTATTTCATTTCTTAACAGGCAAAACCTAATAATGACGATATGACCCAATAACTCATACTTTACTTTTAAGCAATTGGCTTTCCAGACTTGGATAAAATTACTTCGTAACTTTCGCACTTTTGCACTTTCGCATGTCTCACTACTGAATGAAATACTTCATTTATATATATTTGTTATTTGGAACGCATACCTCAATAATGACGATATGACCCAATAATCCATACTTTACTAGTAAGCAATTGATTTTTCACGTTTAGAAAACTTTACCCCTCAACTTTTCCAGCTGGTATATTAAATACTAATTCATAATAATATATATTCATTCAACTTTAATTTTTGAAAAGGTAAAACCAAATGATGATGACGTGACCCAATAACTCATACTGTCAGCAATTGACTGTCCTGATTTGAAAAGTCACTCCGTAACTTTTGCAGCTGGTGTGTCTCACTACTGAATGAAAACTGATACCCTCATTTTATTTATTTTTTGAAACGCATATTTTTGGGGGTTATATGATATTAAATTACCCATGTAATTGTTTAGGTTTTGTTTATTCCACCTACTAGGAGGCACGTGACAAGAGACCCAAGCCGAGGAAGAGAAGCACCCACCCGTAGATCCCTCGCTCCATGAACTAAGTGACGGTCATATGTACCTCTCAATCATACCTCAATGCCACATTCCCTTATAAAACAATAAATTGGATAGCTCATGTTATTTCTACCAGCTGTAATCAACGTTTCTAAAAAAAAAGGTCGCTCCAATCAAGGATTCGATATCCCTGAAAAGATTTTGCCTAATTTCTTCATAATCTGGGCACTCCATAATTATATGGTTCGTATCCTCTGTGCAGTCAGAAGAAGCACAATAGGCACACTCCGTCAGACCAATTGTACATTTATAATTGCCTCATAAGCCATGGCTACTTCTGAACCGTTCATTTATGTTACAGAAATTGTCTAGACCAGTGTAACCATACGGAACCATTATGAAATGCCTGCCGATGAGACAGCCAATTCGCGTTAAGTACATACTTTATTAGTAAGCAATTAATTTGCCAGACCTGGACATAGTGTACCTTGCAACTTTCGCAGTTGGTATTAGTATGTAATGAATGTTATTAGTTGCATTGAAAAACTGGCATATTTTTGTACATATTATTTGTATGAAACGCACATCTGAATGATGTCCATGTGGTCCAAGGTCCAATGATGTTCAATAACTCATTCTTTACTAGTAAGCGATAGGATTTATGATTTCAAAGTAAGCTTAATTGTAACCCTTGCAGCTGATATGGTTAAATATTTAATCAAAACTGTCCTAATTCCATCTAAAGAACTTTATTACAAATATTTACAAGAGATAAACTGATAATAAAGATTATTTTTAATTGAGCCTAAAATTGAAAAAGTACATGAAATAAACACATTAAAATATGTTGTTAATGTGATGTTTGTCTTCACCTGTATATCCATGTCTTACTACCTAACTCATTCTTTTTTATCTTACTGTTCCCTATACATATGTACATCTAATGTTCTGTTTTTCGTCTCTGTCTTTCTATTAGTTTCCATTATTCTCTCCTTCTCCCTCTCACTCTCTCTCTCTCTCACTCTCTCTCTCTCTCTCATACAACCACAAACATTCACCCAACTTTCGTGTTCGTCTGCCGTAGTTGCTACAAGCCATAAAATACGAAATTCCTAGGCTAAAAACCACAAGAAAAATAATACAAAGAACAAACATTCAATGAAATTAAAAGTAATTATAAACATTCTATCATAATTATAGTTAAAATCCCTATGTCATGATCTTTTGAAAAGAGAAGCAGTAATTATCAATTGGCTTTCAATTATTTTATTTATTTATTGTTGTTTTTATTAACAATTGAATAGGAATATCAAGATTCAAACGGTCAGTTAACCATAAATGATATAAAAAACACTGATAATACAAGAATCCTACGGCTGCACGCCTTGGCAGTGACAGTTAACTATTAATTTTAATTAGAAAGATGGGACGAAGGTCAAAGTTATTATTCGAAATCGGCATGGCTCGAGGTGAGATGAATGACCTATGTTTATCCCAAGTAAAGAGTATCTATCTGAGCGCTCCTGTAAATATCAACATAATCTTCGCAAAGCGATCGTGACATTACATTAAAAATGGCTGTTTCGTTCGAATATATAAGCTAATTGGTTCAATTCAGAAGCAGAATCATCTCAAACGCCATGAACGGTATGATCATCTTCGCTCTTGCGGCCCTCCAGGTACAACAAATGAAATTTCACGACTTTTTTAAATTAGGGTGTAGACATTAAAAAAAATGAAATTTTAGCTCGCTGCTGGTTGCGTCTACCAAGGCACCGATGCCGGTTACGCCAACGACGCCACCTACTTCAACGGAGTCGCCAACGGCCTCAACACAGTCTCCAACGACTTCAACGGAGTAGCCACCGGATTCAACGGAGTAGCCACCGGATTCAACGGAGTAGCCACCGGATTCAACGGAGTTGCCACCGGATTCAACGGAGTTGCCACCGGATTCAACGGAGTTGCCACCGGCTTCGACGGAGTTGCCACCGACTTGAACGGAGTCTCTACTGGATTCGTTAACGCCGCTCCCGCCACCGACGCCGTCGACTACGTCGCAGGCAACAACCTCGATGGTGTTGCATCTGGTTTCGTCGACAACGCCGCCGGATACTACAACGCTCCCACCACTTGCCTTACCCACAGATTGGAACAGGTCGTCCGTCCCGTCGTCGACGAATGCGTCCGTCACGTTCCCGTCGTCAGGAAAACCGTCAGGCACCAAGAAGAGCAATTCACCCGCCACGTTCCCGTGGTTGAAAAGACTGTCTCCCAACAAGAAGAGAAATTCGTCCGTCACGTCCCAGTCGTCCAGAAATACACCCGCCCCGTCGTTGAGACCCGCACCCACCACGTTCCCGTAGTCAAGCACAGGACCAAGACCGTCGTCGAACCTTACACCGACCACGTCCCAGTCACTGAGAAATACACCAGGCCCGTCGAAGAAACCGTCGTCCGCACTGTCCCCGTCGTCGAAAGGAGGACCAAGCCCGTCGTCCATCAACACGTCCGTCACGTCCCCGTCACCGAGAGGAGGTCCAGGCCCGTCGTCGAATCCCACGTCACCACCGTCCCCGTCAAGCAACGCTTCGTCAAGAACCTCGTTGAACAACGCGTCCGTTCAAGCTCTAACCCTTGTGCTCCCTGCCCTCCCGGCTTCTACTCTGGAGTTGAAGGATACGCACCAGCTTCCTACGCCACCTCCTCTTTCGCCGCCCCCGCACTCGGAGACGTTTACACCGGATCTTTCGCCGGACACGCCACCGAGACCCTCCCCGCCACCTACAACACCCACGCCACTTGCTAAGCAGAAGAAAACGGACCAGAGAAGTTTTTATAATTTTTTATAGATGTTTTATATAATAAATTCCGCATATTTTAATTAAAACTAGGCTTATATATTTACCCGTACAATTTTTTATTGTCCTATAACCGACTTAAACCACTTGGCAAGAACTGACAAAACTATCTTAAATTTTCAAAAGGAATTCATCCCGAATAGATACCGCTAAAAACAAAACAAAACAAAAAGTAAACGAACTGCAAAAAACAATAAACAATTCCTAAATCCCGAGTCAAATTGGTACTATCAGTCATTAAATGAATAAAACGCCTAAAGCAAAACAATATCTGATTATTAATGCCATATTAATGATTGGTTGATAATTTTATTTACAAAACCACTAAAAGATTTATTCATGGGTATGTTTATTATTATTTATGGTAGTGTTGTACACCATGCAATATCTAGACTGTTAAGTAATCTTATACGAAGAGGTGATAACATTACTAGACCAACCGATGTATTGTAATTTCAATAAGTAAGCATTGTCATGGCTGATTTTGGCAATGAGATCAATGATGAAGTAATTGTCAACATTTGCGGATTGTTCTACAAGAAATTTATTTATGATTACTCTTCGGTGACCTGAACCTGGTTCTACCATGAAAAAAATGGCAGTAAAGAAATACTATAAACAAAAAGAAATATAATAATTGCTACATTTAACAAAAAGTGACATTGTAGTGTCAATTAAAGAACGAATCTAGATTAACAAACAAATACAAGAAAAAACTTGTAAAATAACACATAAATAAAGAAGAAGGCAAGCATGACATACGAATCCACAAGAAAGACCACTAATAGACAATAATAAACGTAAAACATGAACAGGTACCGAACAAAAAATGATATTACAATAAATCAGTACATTATACAGCAAAGACATTGAACAAAGTCATGTCCAGATAAAGGGACAAATTGTCAGAAAATAGTCGAAATAAAAATAATAACATAAGAACAAGAAAATGTCCAATTAAATCTACACAAAACAAAAAACTCACCACAAAAGAGAAGAACCAGTACATCTTTATAAGAAAAAGGCAAAAAAAAAAAGCGTTCAAACAAGTACAACAAAAAGTATCAAAATGCTGCTGCTTAAGTAATAAACCTTACATACAACCATACATAAGAAAATAAACATAAAATTTCATTTACAAGGGTTTGCTGAAATGAAATATAAATTTGAATACCACGAAAAACCAAACCAAAGGAAGATGAAGATCATGCAAAATGCCAAAACAGAAAATTGTAAAACAAAAAAAGGTAAAAAAGTAAAACGTAAATGACTATATATAGTACACAATTCAACAAAATGTAAGAAGTCTACACAAAATAAAGGAAAGAACACGTTAACAAAACACTTTCCCTAGAAAGGAAAAAGGTGTATAATACTCATCATAAGAAATAAACAGAATAAAAATACAAAGAGATATAGCGACATGTAGAACATAAAACAAAAGACAGACAATGAAGCTTCTGCGCAAGAGAAGACGACATAAAACGGAACATACAAGTGAACACAAGAAAAGATACCAACGGGTTAATATAAAAAATAGGTATAAAACCGCAAATAACAAGTATATGTTAATGAAACTATAAGAAATCAAAATAAACAAAGAAACACCAACGTAGGACGACGACAGATCAAGATTATAACAATAAAGTCAACAGACAAAATACGAAAATAAAACACCGAAATGAATATGCAAAGAAACAGAAGGGGGCAAAATAAGAGGAAACAGTCAAATAAACGGTTATAAAAAATTATAAAACATTATCGATAATATATAGAACAAAGATCAGCAAATTCTTGCACAACAGTGTAAACAAATAAACAGGACCCATCCCGCACAAAGGAAAAGAGGCAAACAACACACAGCATCAAAATATCAACAGGTACCTGGAGCATAAAACAAAGAGCATATACCATAAAACCACCATAAAAGAGAATGCAACGAAAAATGGTACGACTAATATTAATCGTAATATTAGTAGAAACAAGACAAGAGACAAGCAAGGTAAACAAAAAAAGAAAAATATAAAAACAAAAATAACTAACTATATAAGAAACTAGAAGACAAACAGTCACGATAAGACAACGACAGACAGACGTTATCACAATAAAGCCACCAAACAAAACATTTTTCGTAGAACAGAAGAGGACAAATAATGTAATATACATAAAAAAGTGGTACATAAACGGGCTAATATAAAAGAAGGGTATCAAATCGAATGTAGGAAAACTGGCTCATAAATTTGCAAGACCCAAGTTTAAAAGCAACCACACACGCAAAATATTAAAACGGAAAATTATAAAATGAATACAAGAAAGAGAGAGAGAGAGAGAGAGAGAGAGAGAGAGAGAGAGAGAGAGAGAGAGAGAGAGAGAGAGAGAGAGAGAGAGAGAGAGAGAGACAGAGAGAAAGAAAGAGAGAGAGAGAGACAGAGAGAGAGAGAGAGAGACAGACAGACATACAGACAGAGTAGAACAAACAGTTACAACAAACAAAGAACATTCTCCAGGGGCACATTCTCTACAAAGGAAAAGAGACATACACTACACAGTGTAAAAAATAACACCGTCAAAATATGAACAAATACAGCGACCAAGTAGAGCGCAAAGCAAAAGGCATTCATAATAAAGCTACCACAAAAGAGAAGACGATATCAATCAATATACATGTAAACGTAAGATAAGAGGCAAACGAGCAAGCATAGAAGAAAGGTATAAAAGCGAAATTAACAAAAACACGCTCATAAACTAAAAGACACATAAAAATTACACAATACGACTACAGTAGATCATTTGTATTACACAATAAATCTAATAAAGATTAAGAAAGAAATACAGACAAGGTAATAATTGCTGTAGTAGATAAAAGACGAAAATACTTTATCTAAAAGATTTAAATTATAAAAACCCCAATAAATACACATGTTAAGAACACATCAGACCAATAGTGTTATTTCATTAAGGAACATTCAAACATGTTACTTAAAAGAATATTCTTGTAGAGCTAGATTTATGTAATTGCTTATGGATCTACGAGGACGAAAGCATGAGATAAGCAAATATGCATCCATACCAACTAAGAGAAGAATATTCTCATTGATACTCATAGATTACGGTCAAGCTGATCAAGGAAAAGCAGTAATCTAAAAGCAGGAAGGGACAATGGGACAAAGTGTCAATTTGTAGAACAATCTTGTAAACATTCTCCGGTTAAAATTACTATAAGATATATTGGGGTGTTTTACATGATCCGGCCGTTTTTATTAATTGAAAAAAATAAGTGAAGAAGTTTCCTGCTGTGTACTACCAAAACGTATATACACTAAAATAAGCAGTTATTACTTATCGATGCTGTTCTCATGCTGACTATGGAAGAAATCCTTATCAAACTGTTAGGTGACTCTAAATAATTGAATTCAAGTTCACTAATCGTTTCAAGAAAAAAAAACTATGGGAATAGTAAACAAAGGTCGATTTTTGAGTGGTTAACTCACTGGCTTGGAACAGTTGAAAGAGAAATGAGTTTCGTCGATTTTAGTCAGTGGTTAAAAGTAGACGAAATGTCAAGTTATAAGTCATTACCAAATTTACGCACGAAACAAATAAACAATGGCTGGTGGTGTACGAATGAGGTGAGTCCACCTTGTAAGACCACGACTACAGCTTATTGCAATGTAATTGAACAAATCTATCAAAAATTTTGCAAAAACCAAACAAACCTCATTGTCTTGTCTCTAACCCTACTTAACTATAACATTTTTTGATATTTCATATAAAACAACCCGATATATTCTTCTTCATTATAGTCTAATAAAACATATCTTTCAAGAGGGGTTATGAGCTTTCAGGTTTCAAGATAATACTTCATAATTGAACAAAAGTTGGTAGTATCGATAATTCTTTAAGTGGATTCTAAAAGATTCGATTTTTTGTTTTTTAAATTAAAGTTTAGGTATATATAAACAACTAATAAATGGTTCTTACAAAGATGTCAGTTTCGTTCAAGTATGGCCCATTCTCTGAAGCGATCACAGCAAAGGGCTCAACAGGTCATCCGTTTAAAAGCAATATTTCTTCCGGAAAAGACTTCCAGTTAAATTTATAACCGTTTTCCTTCCGTTTGTAAACATTTTACTCACTCAACGACACCGGCACACTTCTGAAGAAACTGTTTTGAGGACAAACGAGGCCCCACCATTTTTGTCTGTCCCCTCTCAGGTGGCGTTCGGCCTACACCGCGCTCCCTCTCATTGAGATCAATTGTCAACATAAATCTCATAATAAATAAATATCACAAAAACGGTATAAACAACGAAAGTAACTTTTACCTATCTTTCAATTGTTTGACGTGACTTGTTCGTAATAGAAACTAAAACTTTGCAGTAAATTCAACGATAGTACGTTGTATACACAAGATAATATGTCTGATTTATCGATTTCTTGTTTTGTTTATTTTTTAATTTCCATTTAGACAAACAAAAATTCTAATAACAGATTATAAATATTTCGTATTTAAATTACACGGCTTTATTTAAATCTCCTGGATATAAGGTTTTAAATTTAAATCTCTGAATCATTTCAACCTAAAAATCATTTCGACCAAAATGTCGACCTTCCAATTCTTTATTCCAGCAGAAATGGAAAACAATGCGTCGTTATCGGTCGAGTGTTATGTTTGTTAAATGTAATGCGTTTTGCGCATAACACAGGTTATTACTATTAGTTCCCACGTCATCAGAAAACTATTTCTGCTGTTTTCAACGTCTGTTTACACGTCATCTACGCTTATCAGATTTTGTGAGCTGTTTAGAAACAATTTTATCCATTTTTCCTCTAAAGGTCCTTGCAATGTCAGCGAGATGGGTCTTATCGAGCAGGTCGGAAGCAGTAGCCCCCACCATCTGTAGATAAGTGTAGGAGAAGCCTGGTCGTGGCACGAGGCGTTAAGTAAACAGAGGGTCCTACGTGAATTTTCAATTTTGGTTACGCGGGCTAAATTAAAAACAACGGAGGATAACGACCGGTCTTGGAAAGAATTCGATTTGTTTACCTCGATGAATCGTGATTAAAACCCTTAAGAAATTTCTATATAACTGCATGCTCGATGGATTGTTCACTTAGTCCTTAATAACCGTTTGCCATGTTCGTCAAGGTCCTTTGCCTTTTTGTGGCCGTCCAGGTAAATTTTCATTAAGATGTACTATTCAATATAAAAGATGGATAATTTACTGTTTTTGAATGAAGTGCGCCTATTGCTGTGATACGTTATGCGGAGTCTCTCAATTTGACCGATTGCCCACTCCCTGTTGCGAACCAGTCTCGTGCAGCGCCCCCAGTTGCGTCACTCACCACCTCGAGAGTTGCGTCCGCCCAGTGGTCCAAGAGTGCGTCCGTCATGTCCCCGTAGTCAGGAACACGGTCAGGCACCAAGAAGAGTGCCTCACCCGTCACGTCCCCGTCGTGGAGAAGACCGTCTGCCAGCAAGAAGAGAAATACGTCCGCCACGTGCCGGTCGTAGAGAAGTACTGCCGTCCTGTTGTCGAATGCCAGACGCGCCATGTCCCCGTGGTCAGGCACAGGACGAAGACCGTCGTCGAACCCTACACATGCCACGTCCCTGTCACTGAGAAATACACCAGGCCCGTCGAAGAGACCGTCGTCCGTAACGTCCCTGTCGTCGAAAGGAGATGCACACCCGTCGTCCACACCAATGTGCGTCACGTGCCCGTCACCGAAACAAGATGCAGGCCCGTCGTCGAATCTCACGTCTCACACGTCCCAGTCAAGCAACGCTTCGTTAAGAACCTCGTCGAACAGCGAGTCCGCGCTGTCTGCGAACCCGCTACTCCCTGCTGTGACCAACCCGCTTCCTATAACGGATGCGGATGTGGTTGTGGATGCGGCGGATACACCAACTACCAAACTCCATTTTACCAAGGCACTGGATGCTGTTAACCCCATCATTCTAATCTGTTTACATACCAAATATAAATAAAACATTTTTATTCCAATAGTCTATCTCTCTATATAATACAATTAATTAAGGCTTTTAGTTGAGATGAAAAAAAGCTAATGGCACGAGCGGGATCCTCTATATAATCTTACTAACTTACTTGAATTAGGCTGTGTAAAATATCGAATTAATAGAAAACTACTCTTAGAACATCACAATTATAAAGTAACATTTGTGAGTGCTTTGCCCCATGCGCGTGGTGAGCGTTATCTCGGCTCTCCGTTATGATATTTCCTTGTAGTAGATAGCTTAGGGAACCTGCCGAATCGTCCGTTGTCTGCAATTTTTTTCCCGTTATCCGGTGCACGCACGGAAATACAAGGGCTATCATTGTCGGGAGAAAAGGATAACCGAGATGGTGAACGACAACTGTATTTAAACCTCCACGCGAGAAATTTTACCCACATCTCACTGGACTCTGAAAGAGGAAACGATGAAAGTCATCGCAGTTGTTCTCGCTTTGTGCGCTAATGTAAGTCCTAGATATCACTTAACTCGTGTAATATCACGTTCAATTTCTTATCCGAATTTCAGGCCGCTTACGGCTGTACCTACGGCCTCCCCGTAGTCGGACACCATGTCGACCAATGTGTCCGCCCTGTATGTGAAGAAAGTCTAACAGCCGTGCCCGTCGTCCGCAACGCCGTGGCCCACCAACAGGAATACTACACCCATTCTGTTCCCGTCGTACAAAACCATGTGGGCCAAGTTTGCCACGACCACGTCACAAACGTACCTGTTGTTTCCAAGCGTTGCCAACCCGTCGTCGAGACCAGGATGACCCAAGTGCCCGTTGTGAAGCAGATGGTCCGTCCAGTCGTCGAGCACCTCGTCGAAAACGTACCCATGGCTGAGAACCACGTCCGTCACGTAGAACAGACCTTCGTCAAGAACGTCCCCGTCGTCGAGAGGCTATGCAGGCCCGTTGTTCACCACTCTGTCCATCACATGCCCGTCACCGAAACAAGGAACAGGCCCGTCGTACATCAGCACGTCGACCTTTTACCTGTACGCCAAAGCCACTGCAGGCCCGTCGTCGACACCTACGTTCAACCCGTTGCCGGCGTTCAGTGCTACAACCATGACGTCGGATGTGGATACGGAGGTGGATATGGAAGTGGATACGGAAGTGGATTCGGAAATGGATACGGATGTCCATCAAACTGCTTCTGCTAAATTCACTCAAGGGAATAAATTGTCTTTAATATTTTACATTCTCTTTTCTTTTTATCCCTCTTTCCAAGAGAGTTCACACCACCTATAATTAGTTTTTTGGAATTTTATGACAATCGACTTAAGACAACACTCTTTCAAAAATGTCATTGGACATAGTTGACTCTAGTTCAAGATAGTTTCAATTTATGCTTTATACCAAATTAAGTGTATGCATCGACAATCACACTGAATAAGGGGACACAAAAAAATTGAAATGCACTGGGCAATGCACACTTGTTCCACAATAGAGATGAAAACCCCACTCGATCTCCCACTCTTATACATATAAGATCAAAAGCTGGCTTCCGTGAGTGTCAACGGACTCAACAGATTCAAAGAAATATAGCCCAATCTAAGGAGAAGCCATCAAAAAAGGTGTGAGCAAATTTATATAAATTAGATGGTTATAACCTAACAAAATGAGGGGAAAACTCAAGTATGTTGAGAATGACCTTAAGTTGATAATTCATCAAATTCCAAAGAAAGGAACACTCAACTTTGACAGACCATTACAGATGGTCATGGATAAAAGGGATGCTTAAAAAAAGTCAACCCAAGTTTCGGTAAAAGTCCCTGATATACTGATGGATCAAAGATAGAGCAGGGAGAAGTTGTTAAGGTTTAAAAGAGCCAAAATACAGTTTAACGAAATCCCTGAGAGCTGAGGACTCTGGACCTCTGTCAGGAATATAATAAAGAATTTTAAGAAAGGAGATCTACATACTTTCGGACAGCCAGGCAGCTATAATGGCATTAAATATTATCTTTTTAGATCCAAACATTTTTAGGAATGCCTAACTTGCTTATTGGCACTTAAGGGTGATTTAGGGCAGATGTTCCCATCTTTACTCGTGGGTGTTGAGACCCATGAGGATCTTTAACTTCCGGACTTATCCCCGAGGGGATGCTCAGAATGTTCTCAAAGAGATCACCAGGAAGATTTCACATGCATGGACTTGTCACATTCCTTGGCTAGAGAGGTGGTGCAGTGCTAACCAAGTTCAGAAGTGCCCTGAAAAGGGCGCATCCATACATGTGCCTTGAAAAATGCAGTTTTGTGGTTTCTGGCACGACCTTTCAGCCGTGCCTTTCGCCACCCCCGGAGAGATAGAGAAGGCAGTCTAACTCCGGCTCCGATTGGCCTCCAGCTAAGGTACGATTTGTTTACAAACCACGACCACCACGAGTCCAACCTCAATTAGTAGAGCCGCTTGGATACTCTACTCCCGTGGTTCAGTATTATTTTTAATGTGGGACTGATCGCCCACCCGGGAGTTCATACGCACCCGTTGCCTGAGGAGTGTGGGTTCAGTAACCCAGGAAGCCTCTACCAAAGCAGCGAGGGGAGGGGGAGCGAAGAGGAAAGGGGTAAGGAAGGATAGGGACGGTAAAAGGGAATTTTGCCTCCATCATTGGTTACCCCCAGGCACCAGGGTTGATGGTCGAACTTTGCCCTGGCCCATAAGGAAGGTATCCCTTTGGGTAGAGTGATTTAGGGCATTCCAAAAGACCAACTAGGTAAAGAAGAGAAACTTGGGGCTGGAAAGAAAAAGAACACAAGCAGTGGTTTGCGAAAGAAAAACTCAGCCACTGGGCAAAATACTATATGATGCAAGCTAAGGCATTTATAAATCTCTTAAAAAATAAGGTATAGGAACTTCTCTAACAAGCAAGTTTTTTTGGAAAATTATCGGCCCCTATACCCGCCACTATCCTGTTACAACGTAAAGAAAATGGACATACCAGTGATATAAACCTGCCGATTCTGTCCGGAAAAGCTAGACAGCGGTATCCTTTTGGAACGTGATGCACTAGCCAGTAAATAGTATAGCTTTTTGGTAACGAAATTCCCAAACCAAGAGTGTTTAATTTTGTCGGAAAAGTGCACATTCCAAAGTATAGTCTTGATCATAACGTTATAATCCTTACTTGGCCCCTCTTTCTGTCATACAGGAGGTCTAGACGTCTTAACTACCCGCTGGGTGTTACTGGAGAGTCAAATCACTTTACAATACTTTTTCATATTATTCTCAATTAAAAAGCCATGAGCTTTGCCGAGATTCGAGTCCAGAATCATTAATGCGGCCAACACTGATTCTATTCGGTCATGGCGGTCCTCAAAATTCACGGCATTTTATTGAACAGCCGCCATAAATATTATCATTTAATAGCTCGTACAAATATAGTTGCAAATTCCAAAAATGCAGTTTTGAAATTATGCAAAGATTTCACGTAGTTAATTGCCATAATGTTTGAAAGTTTTTGTTTGTTCAATGAGGGAACTTTTATTCTTTTAGTCTGAATTAGTCTTCAAATCTAGCGCAGAAAAAAAGGACGTAAGCGAGATAAAACACGCAGAAAAAGAACATGAAAACTGCTGACAAACAGTCTTTGTAATAATTAAATATTCTAAAAAATGCAAAAATTATAGGAAAGTTTTCGTTTTCGTTATTATCTTACAATCTGATTTTTTAATCTTCTCTGTATCGAGTTATACTGGTATGTTATGAAATGTAAAAAAGATCACATTGAAGGAGGAACATGACCATGTAAACATGAAAAGCAGAAAATTTTCTGAAATATTTTTCATTTTCCATTTCATTCAAGAATGAATTTCTTGGTTCACAAGCTAATCTCCTAATGTAGGTTTATGTAGGAAAATTGATCTTATATTAATTTTCTTTTCCTCCTTTCAGTTGACATTTTTACTTTATTTATTTTTTAGTTATCAACATTTAACTACATTGTAACTAAATGTTATAAAAACGATACATGATGGTTTGGGTTGATGGTTGATTACTTATATATAAGTCTCCAGCTGTCCAAAATTAAAAAAAAAAAATTGTTGTGCACCGAATGATACCTAAGGCTAAATGTATCCCGTGTAATAGGTTTATCTGCTACCTCGTGGCATACCAAAATGATCCAAATTTATTTGAGCTCTTATTTTTATATGGCTCCAAATTTTTTCCTTCGTAACGGATTTATTACGTTTAACGATAAAAATCACGCTAATTGGTTTACAAAATTGTTAAATTAAAACACCCTGGTATTGCTAGCAGACTGATTAGCTAAGGACGTCTGTAAATGAATATTGATTTCAAGGGATGTCCCCGATCATGAATCATCAATTGATTTCGGAAGCATGGAATCATCAAGTCTCAAGATGGTTGAGAAGTTCTTCATCGCTTATCAGCCTTATCTAGTATTAGATATTAAATTTATTATAATATAATAACGACAAGTCTAAAAAGCGTAACAAGAAAGTTTAACGATTGTTTAAAAATATTTTTACAATATTGCTGAATCGGCGCTTCTCGTATCTCTTTTAAAACAAGACAAACTAAATCATTTCCGCCTTTATAACTCCAAAATGATTAAGCATGCAATAAAGTTGTTATTATTATTATATTTGACATGACGGTAAAAAAACTTTTTTTTTAAATCTGTCAAAAAAGAAAAATTTTGAGAATATTTCATCGACATTTATTCTTATATTTCCTTGCGGTTTAAAATGATCGACAAATATAATAAATAATCAATGTATTGTATGGTGTACGAGTGAAGATTTGTCAGTTTGTTCGTTTCGTTCATAGTGGTCCGCCTGTTTTCGCTAAATATCGAATCGCCTACATCCTTTGTCAGTTTAAGTCTTTTGACATGGAAAATTAATTGGTATTGAAATTGTTCACATGGGAATCTGAAAAAATCAGGAGAATATTGATTTTCCTTGTGAGCCTAAAATATTTTTTTTAAAGTGTTTTCCCTGTAAGCTGCGTTGTAAACAAGAATTGCTTTCTTTTGTTTAAAGGATGTTATGCCATGTGGCATTTGTTTTGTGTTTAAGTATTATAAATAATATGAAAAAGTGAGTTAAAAGATTACAAATTGAATTGTCCTACGTTTGTCATTGAGCGGGAAAGGTAAAAGAAATAAATTAATTATAAAAAAATAATTTATTTAAAATTAACACCATCCGTTGCATCCGCATCCACATCCGTTGCCGCAGACAAGACCACTGCCGCAGTTGAAGAGAGGGCAGGAACATTGTTTCAAACATACGTTGGGTACGGTAGTGCAGCAAGTCTTTCCGCAGCAAGGGAAACATGTATCACAGGGGTTGGGAAGGGTGGTGCAAGTGGTGGTTTTACCGCAGCAAGGGTTCACAGCGGGGAGAGTGGCGCAGCACAGCGTCTTGACAGGGTGAGGCATAGTCGTACAAGTCGTGGTCTTGCCGACGTTATGAGGGACAGTGGTGCACGTGGTGGTTTTAGCGACGGGGAATCCGCAACCACAGCAGCCGCAGCCGTTGTCGAAGCAACCGCACGCGAGGGGAGAACAAGCGGGAAAGGAAGTGCAGCAAGTCTTGCCGCAGTTGCATCCAAATCCGCACACTCCGGGCAGACCGGCGAAGCAGGTCTTTCCGCAGCAGAGTCCGTAAGCTCCGGGAAGACTGGTGCAGCAGGTGGTCTTACCGCAGCAAAGTCCGCAAACGCCTGGATAAGAAGTACAACAGGTTTTGCCGCATCCGCAGAGTCCGCATGTGTTTGGATAAGTGTTACAGCACGTCTTAGTACAGCCTAACGCGCAAGGTCCTGGATAACTCGTACAACATGTTGTTTTACCATCGCAGTTGAACAAGGAGGGTTTCAATACTCCAAATCCACAGTCGCACTCAAAAGCTTCAGACTAAACGAAAACACATCAGTTTTGCTACTGTCATCCATTAAGAAAAATAAATTTTTACCTGAATGGCCAAAACGGCCAAAGCCAGTACGATGAATGTACATTTCATGATGTTCAATGTATCCAGGACTGGAAATGCAATTGATCCATGGGAAGCAAGTGGGTGGTGTTATATAGAACCAGGAAGTGGTCAAAGTTTTTCCCGGGTGGACACGTTCTTCCTGTGCCATCACGTAATCCATACGCACGTCGGCAAGCACTGCTGGGAGAAATAGCATTTGCCCAATTTCATTTCTAAACAATTTCAGGTTTGTGGAATTGTTTTCCAACCTCGCCCGTGATGTTTGCCCGACGTCCGGCACTCCTTCGCCTTTTCGCATTTTACTCCCCTTCTCTCCAAAATTGATGACAGTTGGTGCCGTTTTTGCATTTGACCTACGTCCTTTGTTAACACAATTTATTTAAATGATTGATCAATTTAAAAAATTATTAAAACGAAATCAGTACAGGTAATTTATTCAGTAAAAACAATAAATTCATAAAAAAACTGAAACGTACATATTAAATAGCAACGTAAATAAATCTGTAATAATTGTGAAATAAAATAACTCATAGATATTGTATATATTTATAGTACTTAGAATATATAATAATTTTTAAGAATATTTATTTATTTTAAACGTTATTAATGACTTAAATTAAAAATAATCAGTACAGTTCAATTTACTGTTGTCATAAACATTACGTACGTTCAAGGGTGTTGATTTCAAAATAATGTTTTTGTTTTAACATTTCCTTGACAGAGAAGTTGAAACAAAAAATTCCAATATTTCTGAAAAGTAGCAGCTCAAAACCTGATCAAATAAGGCATGAAATGTTAAACTACATGAAATACATATAAGCCACAGTCTTTTAGTTATGGTTCAAATGCGTACACGCATGGCTGTAGCCTACAAGCTGAATAAAGAAATCTGATTTTGCAATTATTTTTAAAAAAATTGGGAAAACGAATTGGTTAATCTTATTAGCAAAAAGACTGATCGCACTAAACAACCTGTAATTGACTGCCTCCGCAGAGGCAATCTTGGCGTCTCCCTCTCAATTGATTTTTCGATAAGAACTACAAAAGGGACGATTGGACGAGATGGCACATAACCATCTACAGAATGTGCTGAAAATATCAGCAAGTCAGGCTTGGATCATCTGGGATCGAACTGTTCAACAACAAAACAAGCAGAAACATTTTTATGTATTTTAACCGTATTTTGTACGAATGTTTGTTCAGTGAGAAAATATTCTTCACGTCTTCCTTTACAATTCTGTTGTATTTTAGATAATTTGCCATTTTGTCTTTTTCTTTCCGTTGGATATTAGTTTCTATTTGTTTTACAACTTTTGTTATATTATTTTATTTGTACTTTTGTGTTTTCTGCCTGTCCTTGCTGCTGCGATCTGTCAGATGCATTAAGGTTTTTTGCCAACAGTCATATTATTATGTTATTGTTTGTGATGTTTATGCATAGTTTATGCATTGCGGAAGGCGTCCAGACACTTTTTTTAACTTCATAAAGTGTTTTATTTTATCAGATTTCAGTAAAACGAGTATAATTTACAAAAAGGACACCAGATTGTACTAAAAAATTATTAGAATGGGAGTTTAAATAAAAAAATCTTTATAGTATGTGCATATCAAAATACTTGTACAATGCGTTATACAATAAACTATTGCTAGTTAGAGTTAGACAGGTTAACAAACCAGTCAACGCTGGAATTAATCTGAGGGATAAAGGGGTGTGGTTTTAAGGCTGTAAGGCTAGGATGGGTTGAGGGATTAGTATGAAACTTTTATAAGTGGGATCAGATGAGTCTGTTGACATAATAGTGAAGTTAGTGGCATAACTTTGAAATCCTATAGTCCGTAAGTCCAAAAAGGTCCAAAATTATTGTCGCTGATTCGTTATTCCAATCGCAAACCACACTCTTCAGATTAGAAAGATTTCACCTTTTAGCTGTTCATCTTTTATCCAATAACATATATTTTCAGAAATTATGCATAATACAAGTACGCCTTTGAATCAAGATTTTTGGCTGATGTGGTACGAGAACCAATCAACAGGAAATACAAATTTATTAAGTTAGTTACATCAGTGAAGGGGAAATAAATACAAACCCAACTCTCTACATTTTGAGCCGACTCCATTTTGAATTTTTAAGGCAATAAATTTAATTATCTAGTTTGATGATCAGATGAAGTACATCAATTATGACATTTACAACCTGCTAAAAATAATTATTATCATGTTAAAATGAGAATGTTAAATGATATTTCATTTTATTATCAGGTTTGGATGTTTCTATGCATTTTTATTGGTCTGTACATACTGTTTTGGTCTGTCAGATGTGCACTGGTCTTTATATGAAAATGATCGGAAATGTACAAACTACAGGTATATCACCTTGAAGTGCTCCAAGAGAAGAATTTCCCATTGAAATTTGATGATCATGAAATTGCAAATCGTTATATTTATTAGTTTAGCTTAGAAGTTGTAACCTACGTTACAATTATAATGTACAATGTCCCGTCCATTTTACTAAGCTAAATTCATGATTTAAGTCATAATTTTTAATATTGTAAGTAGACATTTTATCAAACGTTTGTAAAAGATGTTCGGTCAGGTATACAAAATAGATATTTTAAAAATATATATTAAAGAATAAATATTAATAGATTTTTATTAACCGAGTAAATCATTAGAAATAGTCCTGATGAACGAATTGAGTGTTTTTCTTTCTTCAAAATATACCGGGTTCGAATGCAGGGCTGCTGGATTCGAACCCTGGACCTTTATCTTACAGTGATGAGCACCGTGTCAACGCCTAAACTTTTGAGACCAACGAGGCCCCCTGTAATTGTAATTAAAAATTTTTAAATTAGGAATCTTAATTAATAAGTCAGTCTCTCTCTCTCTCTCTCTCTCTCTCTCTCTCTCTCTCTCTCTCTCTCTCTCTGTCTTTCCATCTCTCTGATTAATTAAAATTAAAAGTTTTGCAAGTTCTTTAACTGGATCATAATCACTTATTATTCTAGTATTTATTAATTGTAGTAATATTTATTACTAATATTTACAATAATGGAAGTAAGTAGTAATCTAATAAATGATATTAATAAAAATGAGAGAGTGAAATTGAGGAAAATACAGAATAAAAATGAAAAGATATACTTTCTTGGTATGAAATTATTTATTTATTTGTCGAATTATTGGAAAAAATATAAACAAATTTTTGTTTGTAATAAAAATACCACGTACGATAAAAACAGTGCTGAGAGAAATTAGTTCCTTTTATATTACACAGGTAGCATTCCAAGTGGTACACTGAGTAAGGCAATTTGTGCTACATACTAAAAGTTTTAAAACGATTAAAAAAATTATTTAGCATATTGATTACTATTTAAAATTGAATATCAATGGAATTGGAAATAAGCGTAAAAGTATATTACGATTTTTTAGCCAGTTTGCAAAAATATTGTACTATTATATTTTATCTTAAATTTTAATTTTTTAAAAATAGTTATCCTTAAAGATAGAAGTAATCATTTAATAGCCTTTTTTGTCTTTTGCATACTTCTTTAAAAAATGAATTAAAAGGAAGGAAAATTTCTCAAACGGGAAATGGGCTAGGATTTAAATTTTTCACTGTTCCATTGGGAATCATAGGGTATTTTTTTTAAATATTATTGACTTAGCCATGGTAATCAAATTTCACAATAAAATTATGACTATCAATTATAATTTTATTGTAAAATTTTTGGTAGATGACGACTGTCAAGATTCAATTTGAATGACAGTGATCATGAGTCGACGATATTTGAAGTCAATGTTCCAATTTTCTTCGATTTTCTTCTGTTGTTCAAAGTATTATCTGTAAGCGCTGTTTTTGATGTTTTATGCTTTGGCTATATGGCCNCACCGTGTCAACGCCTAAACTTTTGAGACCAACGAGGCCCCCTGTAATTGTAATTAAAAATTTTTAAATTAGGAATCTTAATTAATAAGTCAGTCTCTCTCTCTCTCTCTCTCTCTCTCTCTCTCTCTCTCTCTCTCTCTCTCTCTCTCTTTCCATCTCTCTGATTAATTAAAATTAAAAGTTTTGCAAGTTCTTTAACTGGATCATAATCACTTATTATTCTAGTATTTATTAATTGTAGTAATATTTATTACTAATATTTACAATAATGGAAGTAAGTAGTAATCTAATAAATGATATTAATAAAAATGAGAGAGTGAAATTGAGGAAAATACAGAATAAAAATGAAAAGATATACTTTCTTGGTATGAAATTATTTATTTATTTGTCGAATTATTGGAAAAAATATAAACAAATTTTTGTTTGTAATAAAAATACCACGTACGATAAAAACAGTGCTGAGAGAAATTAGTTCCTTTTATATTACACAGGTAGCATTCCAAGTGGTACACTGAGTAAGGCAATTTGTGCTACATACTAAAAGTTTTAAAACGATTAAAAAAATTATTTAGCATATTGATTACTATTTAAAATTGAATATCAATGGAATTGGAAATAAGCGTAAAAGTATATTACGATTTTTTAGCCAGTTTGCAAAAATATTGTACTATTATATTTTATCTTAAATTTTAATTTTTTAAAAATAGTTATCCTTAAAGATAGAAGTAATCATTTAATAGCCTTTTTTGTCTTTTGCATACTTCTTTAAAAAATGAATTAAAAGGAAGGAAAATTTCTCAAACGGGAAATGGGCTAGGATTTAAATTTTTCACTGTTCCATTGGGAATCATAGGGTATTTTTTTTAAATATTATTGACTTAGCCATGGTAATCAAATTTCACAATAAAATTATGACTATCAATTATAATTTTATTGTAAAATTTTTGGTAGATGACGACTGTCAAGATTCAATTTGAATGACAGTGATCATGAGTCGACGATATTTGAAGTCAATGTTCCAATTTTCTTCGATTTTCTTCTGTTGTTCAAAGTATTATCTGTAAGCGCTGTTTTTGATGTTTTATGCTTTGGCTATATGGCCACCATGAGTTTTTGTTGGATGCAATTGATTTGAAAATTTTTTTTAAAGGTTTTGATGAGATCTTGCTTCTCTCTACGAACTTAATGATTTGTTCAATTTCGGAATTTAATTTGGACGAAGTTTTTACAATAGTTATTCTTAAAGATAAAAATAATCATTTAATAAACTTTTTTTTGTTTGCATCCTTCTTTAAAAAATGAATTGAAAGGAACGAATATTTATCAATCGGGAAATGGACTAGGGTTTGATTTTTTCACAAATAATATAATATTAGTGACTTAGTTATGGTAATCAAATTTCACAATAAAATTCTAATTACTATGTGAATAAAAAAAAAGAGAGGGAATTTTTGATTGATGATGAAGATTCAATTTGAATGACAGTGATCATGAGTCGATGACATTTGAATGTTCCAAGTTTCTTCGACGCGATTTGGGAAGAATGTTGATCCAACTGTGAGCACTGTTTTTGAAGTTTTGTGCTATGACCATATGGCCATCATGAGTTTTCGATGTATTTAGTGAGAAATGTTGAGGCGAAAGACCATGTTTATTGGATAAAAATTTCACTGTTTTGATGAAATCTTGTCTCTCTCTACGATCTGTGACGTCGGTCCTTCGACGGCACGACAAACAAACATCCAACACTTCTTAACCGGGGATAATGATGGGTACTGGGGAATTAAAATGAAACAAATAAAACACACTCGCTAAAATAAACCAACTAAAACATAATGTATTTACAAGACATAAATATATATATACAATTTAAACCAAAGTTATTACAAATGAAACCAAGACGTTCCCTAATTCCAGTCTACAACCACGTTACAGTGTAATCGCCCAACTCACCCTGTGGTAACTCAATTAAGGTATTTTACGCTTAAGCAAACGTTGACGAGTCTGGAACACACCTGACCTCTCTTCTCCAGCTCCAGTCCAACATCTCCCCTCCTTCGACCATCCCCCACCCAGCATTCCAATGCGCCCCATTACACAAACAGTGACATCCTCAAAAAGTGAGGGTGACAGATCTTAAAGATTTGTTGAGACTTAGCTATGGATTAATTTCTTAGAGGTTTTGGTTTAATGTTTTTGTACTTTTTCTATAAGTTCAATGTCTTTTTGTAAGTACGGGCTCCAAACCTACAAACTTTAGTATGGATCGAGCATAGGTAACATAATTTTCAAGAGGTGATGGAGATATTCAATTAACTTTGTATGCAAGAATGCTTCCTTTTTTGATGGTGCAGAACATGTTACTTTATGACTTCTGATATTGTTATCCTTAAGTCTTGTTGAAACAATGTAGAGGTCAAAGCCAATAGAACAAGTTGACTGGCTCGATGGAATTAATGCGATGGGTAGCAATGGGAAATCGGGGAGATATTGGGCTTCGTGGGCAAGGTCCGATCGAGACCAAAAGTGATGGTGGGACGGAAGAAAATAGGATGATTATTAATAATAAATGCAGAGATAAAAGGTCATGAAGGAGGGAGCTGGATCTAGCAAAGTAGCCTGTGTTTATTCTACGTTCAAGTCTATTTTCAGTAGCAGATTGAGTTTAAGTCGTTTTGAATTCTTACAATTACATCTTGCAAGTCAGGAAGGTGGGAAGGAAAAGCAAATATGAGAGTCATCGCACACAGAATGTATTATTGTATGATTGTAGAAGGATTTTATTAATTTAGATCATTCATGTAACCCAAAATAGGTAAGAGATTCGATTGAGCATTTAGAAATAAAGGATTAGTACTACTTTATTGATGATTTAAATTTAATTAACCAAGCTTGGCACTGAATGTTTTAACATAAATTTAGTAAAAAAGGTTATCTCAAAAGAGGAGAAGGTCGTTGAGTGGAAAAACCATTTTCAAATTACATTGTTGTAAAGTTTTCTTTTATTAAAAAAACACAGAATCATTGGAAACACTGCATGATCTGCAAAATGAATTTCCTGTTATCAACGAGGATGGTTGGATAGCCTGCAACGTCAACAAACAAATACAAAACAATTGTTAATAATACGTATTGTTATTAAAATTATATGTGACTGAATTTTTATTTTATTTTAGAAAAGGAGGAGTTATTTCCAAAGCAAAACAGGACGGTGGCGATTGCAGAAAAACGCAAGATCGCTACTTCTTCCTTGTTTTGAAGGAGTCAGCAGATTAAGTTATCTTGAATAAGAGTTCTTTAACCATTTAAACAAAAAAATGTTTTTCTTTTATTTACCTTAGAAAACCAATTAACAAAAAAGAAGAATCTCGTGTTGTTAACTTAATCAGAAGGCTTTACCCTCACAGCATTGGCAACCTGAAAATAATTATAACTTTGTAAAATATTTATTAAAATGCAATTGATATTTTTTGAATTTAATTATACAGGATGATTAGTTTTGAAATATTAGGCAAAATAGTTCAAAATTTAACCAAACGTATTGGGCATTTGGGTTGTTTTTTTATTGCTGGTATCTATTCGAAATTTTCTTTAATTTTAGCTGATTAGAAATATTAAAAGTTTGATAGATATCGCCAATGTATCTTTATTTTTAACTTTTAAATTTAATGTTATTCAGTATGAAATTGAAATCTTACATCCCTTGAATAATATAAACTAAAATGGCCCTTACATCTTTGCTGAGGTAAGTGGAAATTATTGCACTTATTTGCACAACAAGATCCAGATCTATCGCTAGTACGATCAAGCGTCAAATCCCCTGTTGCCTTTTGATATGGACCATTTGGTGTGTTAAAGCATACCCTGGTTGCAGGGTAGACGCATGAAGGACATCCATAGCAGCCACAGAAGCCTCCTGTACTGCCGTAGTTTAAACCTCCGTAAGTCTTCTCGTTACCTCCCGTGAAGCCTCCGTTGTACATGTCATAGTTGGGGCTGGAAGGCCTGCTTACCAAGAAGTACCTGGGCCCGGTGGGCTGGGCTGGTTGGACAGGAACCCTGTTCATTGATTGGTAGTAGTTATCAGGCATAGCGTTGGGATTTTGAACCAGCGGCCTGTCATAATAGTTGTCAGAGCTGGGAAAGTTTGGTAGCATCGGGTAATTGTTGCCATAGTTGCTGGGGTAATTCACCATATTGGGTAGATAATTATTGCCATAGTTGCTTCCTTGATTGTTCATGGGTACGGTAGGCAAGTTTCCACCTGGACTCCCTGGCCCATACGTTCCAAACGGTTGGTATGGAACATGATGCGCATCAATTAGCTAAAATTACAAAAATTTGTACTTTATTAATAAATTTAAACCATAATTAGATTCACTTATATTTACTTATGTAATGTAGAACAGTCATCTGACTCAGAATTGACTCTAACTATAAAAGAGGGCCAAGAGAATTAAATTTCGAATGTAACACCCACAGTTTTTATCTTAACTGATTAAAAACAATTTGATTGTCACTTTCTTGGTTTCACGACCTAACATAGTGTGCATTTTGATGTATATTTCTGGGATTTTTCTCGGGGTCGCTGGTGGCCAAAGGCCGTTTCTTCCCTAAGCGACCTAAAAGATCCCTTGTGGAATTAACCCTTCTTTATTTCGAAAATTGTCCAACACTTAAGACATTTTCCAAACTTCGTCTTCGCTTATTTCTTTACGTCACTTTTCGCCTTTCCAAACTGTATTGTTTACGGGCCAAAGTTTTGCAGTCACAAGAACATACTCTGCCTCTTGTGTCTCAGTTTAATAATTTTTTATAGGCGGTAATTAAATAGGCTGTGGCCAGTATAAAGACTTGTTATCTTCCTTAATTCCTGTCAACGAGAGGTAGATTTTTGTTTTGAGTTAAGATATTAATCAACTTCTTTGATTTTTTATGCATCCAGTGTACTGTCATTACTTTCTCCTCCATTTGCTAGTTCTGCACTTTTTTGCAGTTTCGAGCCCATGGGTATGAGGGCAATTCCTACATTTGCTAGGTTGTAAGCCACGATCTGGCAACCACATTATCTGATTATGTTTTACCAGGACCTGAAGATATCTTAGGAATTCCCAGAATAGATTTGAATTGAAGGTAAGGGAGGGTAATGATGATATCTTGGGTGCCAGGGCACAGGGGAATTCTGGGTAACGAAGAAGCAGACAAACTGGCCAGAAGAGGATCTGCAAGACCATACATAGGCCCCGAACCTATCCTTGGGATAACAAAAACAAACATAGAATCCTCCATCGCAGAATGGATCCAAACAAAACAAAGAGAGAAGTGGATAAACTCTAGCGGTGCTAGACATAGTAAACTTATGCTGAAACAACCCTCACCAAAATTGGCAAAAACACTGCTGCAATTGGAGAGGGCAAAACTCAGAGGAGTGGTGGGACTACTAACCGGTCACTGGTATCTGAGAAAACATCTACACAACATGGGTATATACAGCGATGACCCCATTTGCAGATTATGTAATGAGGAGGAGGAAACAGCCACTCATATCATCTTCGAATGCGAAGCAACAGCTCAATGGAGGTTTAACCTAGCGTACGAAAAAGACACAGGGAACCAAATTGCAGCAATAACAGTCAATGACTGATACTTCTGGGAAGAAGGATTGAGTCTATTGACTAAACTAGGAAACTCGGAAGGTACAATAAGCCAGAAGGCTGCAGTGCATGGGGAATACAAGCCCCGCTTCCCAGCATCCCTTCCACCATACCATACCATACCAAGGGAGTGAAATGTCTTCAGTGCTGCTTCGCACTTTACATCCTTTTTTAAATATTACTTGTGCACAAAGTTCTATTTCATAATTTTTTATTTTCACCTTGGAAAATTGATGGTATGGCGCCTGGAGGTTTCGCTACGTTGTAATTTCAGCCTGTACGTCCTACTTGTATGCCATAGGAAAAGTTCCTTGTACAATCCAAGCTATACAGTCGTTAGAACATTCAAATCGACTAAATCTGAGCATCAACAAACACAGTGCGTAGAGATTTGGAAGAAGCAGAAGAGACCCCAATATTAACAGACTGTGGTGCTAAAGTTATCCGCAGGATAATATACTTTTAGACTTTGGTTTAATAATGTATTTGGTTTAATAATCAAATTGAAGATTGGAGACTCATCGATATACTATAAGCACAGAACGGGATATATAGCTCGCAGGGTCATTATGTCAGATTCTACCTGAATTTACACCTACATCTCTATATTTAAAATGAGCAAGTTTGCATTGAAATAATCATAAAATGTATTTAACATATTTATGAGACTAGAAATAACATAGCACTTATAAAACTTAAGTCGTCTACAAGCTGTTAGTCACATAATGTGCCTTTCACACACATTTAAAAGGCTTTGCCTATGTAATAAATAAATAATATTTCTACACAGTGTTGTACTATATTGCTTAGATATAAAAAATAATGGTACTAATACTGGCCCCTGAGGTAAACCCAATATCACATTTTTGATTTATTCATTAATTTGTATGATGAATAATGTCAAATGACAAGGAAATCTGAAGTAACTTTGCAGCTAGAAATTTTTATTTTTTATTTTTTTATTTATTTTATATGTATATATTAATGAGGGTTTATTAACTAAGAGATTATAGGATCTGTGGGTACTGCTGTTAAAAAAAGCTTATTTAACATCTAAGGCTTTCCCTTTCCCTCTTAAGAATTTTGATTAATTTGTATGATTCATTAATTTGTATGATCAATAATGTCAAATGACAAGGAAAACTGAAGCAACTTTGCAGCTAGAAATTTTTATATTTTATTTTTTTATCTATTTGATATGTATATATTAATGAGGGTTTATCAACTACGAGTTTATAGGATCTGTGGGTAATGGGTACTGTTGTTAAAAAAAGACTATTTCCATGCCGGTTTCAAATATAGGGCCAATGGATTCGAACCCTGGCCTTTTACTTTACAGTGATACCAATGCCTAAATCATAGCAACCACCGACGCCCCGCAGCTAAATTTAATTGCTTTGATAATTCTTCTTCATGTGAAAATAATCTGAATTAATTCAGCGTAGTAATAATTAAAAAGGGAGAGACAGGAAACAGCTTGTATAAAAGAGAGAAAGGAAGAGAGAGAGAGAGAGAGAGAGAGAGAGAGAGAGAGAGAGAGAGAGAGAGAGAGAGAGAATGAGAGAGAGGGAGGATAATTTTGAAATTTGAGGCAAATCATTGAATTTAATTACATCTTATTTAAACATAAGCTCTCAAATTGTAAACATTCTGCAAGTGAATCGGTTGGAATAAAATGTGTTCCTCAGGGAATGGTATTAGGACCATCCCTTTTTTTAATGTATATTAACTCATCGAAGTTTCAAATGAATTTTATAGAATAAGTAATTTCTTTCTGATTACTGTTAGTATAATTTCTGTACTTCCTTTTTTTTTTAATGGATAGAGGAACAGTATTGGTTTGAATTGTTCTGAAGACATCTCATAGCATAAAACGTTGATGTAGATTGATTTATCCCAAATTTTAAAAATTTCTGATTATTGCCAATATTTACGTGTATGCTTTGACTGCAATTTAAAATTTAAGTTCCGTGCTGTGAAGTTGATGAACAGTGTTAGATTACTTTTTTAAAATGTAATAATCACTAGAAAGATTCTTGATAATGGCCTGTTAAATTTATTATGCCCTGTGCCAGTCGATTAAAAAAAAAAAAGGTATTATTGTATGGAGTAATGCAGATTAAAAAAAGAGTAATTATACACATATAAGGTAAACAAACATCCTCATTTTAGTACTGGTTAAAACCCATAGATATGATACCAGGTCGTTTAAAATTAATGTTTCTTTCTTGGCTGTAAAGGAGTTTCATGGGATTTTTTGAATTTATTTATATCTTTAATTTATGTACCTCACTGTGTGAGCATGTTTTAGCCATATCAAATCAATACTTCTGCTAGATAATAATGAAACGCTATGGATGTATTTAGATAAGATATTTCAGCAATGTGGGTCGTGAAAAATAATTATTTCTGTTCTCTTATTTAGTTTTTATTAAGTGCTCATATTGGAATTTAAAAATTGAATGCTTCTCAAATAAATACAATTAATTGGTAATATGTTGATCATCCCGCTAATCCCAATTTAATACCGTTAAACTGTAACTTAATTTTTTGTTTTGACTATGTTTTGCCGTCAAGTCAAAATTATTGTTTTCTGTTGTTCCCCGAGGCCTTTGTTTGTACAAACACGAGTCTGTTATTTTAAATCCGACCGATTTTCTTTTTCTGCTAATCCGGTCAATTTTCTAGTTAACTGGGTTAAATCGGCCAGGTGCCCTAATTATCAGCTCACCATGATGAGTCGCCAGTTGTGAAACCATTTTAAACATTTATTTCATGGCTACAAAACATTTCTCGAAAAGATAAAAATGAGGAATAAAAACAGTCATTGACACCGAAAAAGAGCGATTAATTATATTTGTTATTATTTTAATTGTTAAAATGAAAAAATGAGAATTTTCCCCCTTTAAGTGAGAGAAATGAATTTTATATTATTGAAATGAAATTTATATTATTATGAGATATCATAATTAATTCTTCCTTAATAGTATAACATAACAAAAATTTAGTTATTCTTTCTTGGCTAAGAGAAAATAATAATGCATGTATGAAATGCAGTGAATGGAAAACTCTGTCACACCTATAATATTTATGCTTGAGTGCATTTAAAAAACCGAATTGTGAAAACTAGGCTTATTTCTAAAACAATGACCACAGTTTAAATTTCAACATTTTTTAAATTTCCTTTTTTGTTTGAATGCTGTATTTATTCTGAACCTGATAACTGAAGATTTTCAGTTTTGTGTAATATTTCTAACACGATTCTTTTCTACCTCGCATTGCGTTAGTTTTTGAAAAACCTGTCTCTTTTTTCCAAAAGCCAAGAGGCACGTAGATATCAGATCGGCGGAGGTGTTGTTAAAAGAAAAGCGAAAAGCAATTTTTGCACATTTTAGAAAAGTGTTCCAGAGCAATTTAATCCAAAAAATATATAATTATTTGTTGTTATGTAGGCCAGTTTGTAGAAACGATTTGTTCTTTCTATGAGTAAATGATTATCATTAGAATAAAATGAAAAAGCAACTTTGAATCTGAAATTGTTTTTATAAATTAAAAACAGATCGAAGGGAATTAATGAATGGAAGCTAACACGGAATCATCTGCTCTCAAAATTCTCGGAGAATCACAATAAAATTTTTAGGAGGCATGAACGCCTCCAAGTCCTCAATGCGCGCCTCCGCGGTTCGTGGTATCATAACTAGTTCTTGTAGTTTTATCAGATCAATTGTCATATTTTTGATCCGAATTGTAGATATCACTTCACTGACAATTGCAGGAAATAAGAAAAAGTTACTAGAGTGAGAGAAAAACATGCAGACATCGAGTGGCTTGTTTGGTTTACGTTGGCAAAGACTAATGCGAGAATAAGCGCCAGTAAATATAACTTTCGTGCATAAAATATCAGTCACTATTTAAATTTTATGTGTGGTGTTTAGTGACCGTTAGTAGTGGGCACTCTCAACACGACGCACAAGAATGACACATCTACACGGAACACAAACATTTCGAGCTCTGAAGGTGATCTCAATAAAGATCGAAACGTTGGCACGATAAAAAAAAGTTTTTCTAAAACCTACGTCACACCAGACCGCATCTCACGATTTCCGTTTAAATTTTATTTTCCAACAATCCACTTAACTGCTCTCATTTCAGTTTTGACAGGGACTAATGAGAGGTAAGACATGAAGACATGTCAGGCCCAGGCCGTAACCCCCATAACAGTCAGGCAGGATGTTGTGGCCAACGACTTCGACGCGGTGACTTTCCTGGAGGTATGAGTCGGGAGGCGCCCTAGACCGGGTGGCAGACGGAAAGTGGCGAAGTATAAGGTATTACAAAAAACCCTCATGACGGCATATCAGAAGCCCTATTTTATGGTGGAAGCTGCCGTCGTGGGCAACGTACAATCAAAACGCTCAGGTCAATGGGGTCAATAGCTCCCCGAGATGTTCCTCACCCTGTCCTTAATGGCACTCCGTTTGTCACTGAGGATTGCGTGCGACGCCATGGATCGGGAGACAGCTCATAGGCGTGGAATTGGACCATAAGACCTGACGGCGAAGAAATGGTCCCACGATTGACCTGATGGGTGGTCGAAAGTAAGGGCCGGGAGACCCGCACCATCTGTATTTTAAGCTTAACCAGATTTTAAGTATTTCTAGTCAGTCTATCCCCCAAATAATTAATTATTTAAATAGTTAAATATTAAAGAATAGAGGTGTGGAAATAGAAAATAATGGGACAAAAGAACAGTCATGGTGGAAAATTTATAATGAAGAAGTTTTCAGCTTAAAATTATTTAACTGCTTTAATTTTGCAATGATTTAATCATGCCAATTCTAAAATTTTATCAAAGAAACATGTATTTTATTTTATGTAGAAATAGTTCAAATTTGATTTTAATTTTACAGTCCAATTTTTGTAATATTTAGAGTTAAAAAGTGTAGGAGTGAATGTGTCACCCTGTAATACTCCTATTTCAACTGAAAGTCACATTGTCATTTTATTCAGACATATCTGTGACATTTTGTAAGAATAATAAGAGAAATATAATCAGCAACAGGAATTTTATTATTTAAATTTTAAAAAACACATGCAGAAAACACATGCAGACGGACAAACAGTTTCAATTTCTGAAGTTTTATCGAGTCTTGCAAAGGTTGAAAAGAAAAATAAAGGCGCGGTTGATATTTTCCAGACTTTTCCAATTTTCTGGAGAAAAAGTTCGAAAGGCAAAACAGCAAATAATTTCATACTTGTTCTGCTCATTTGGTGTAACACACATCCTCAATCTTCAAGAATATACTCAATGTAACGTATTTGTTTATTTACTTACTTGGCTCACTGCGAGGATGGAGACTATGACTATGAACATTTTGGCAACTGAGAGTCTTCTACTTCCGAAACGACGTTAAATGGAAAACCGCGGATGGAAAGATAGGAAAATCACGTCCTTTTGTATCTCGTTGAGTACCGTTTGGCGTTTCTTTCTAATCTCAACACCACGCCAATTACGTTTCGGTCTTTTTATTTTATCGCATTACTTATTTTTTAAATCACGATTGCGCTTAAAAGAAAAAAACAAAACGGGTAATTTCATCTTCAACGACTTACCTGTTACCCAAAATTTAGCGACAGTTTTTTTTGTGATCTTGCAAAAGCTAAAGAATTAAGATCATTTAAAAACCGTCAGTGGTTGTCCGCATTTGTTCCCTCAAAACAGCGCCTTTAAAATTCTAAAGGTTACGCTAGATTTGAGACATCACACAAAAATTCACGTAAGAAGGGGAAGAAAACTTCACAAATTAATAAATTTTCTTTTTTAAAAAATAAAATATCATTTTAAATTCTAAGTTTCTCATCGCCTGGGCAGGATGGGCTGATGTCTGCATGTTTTCCCGTGTCTAGCATTTTGGAAGAATGTCTACGTTTCAGAAGTAGAAGGAAGGCATGAACAAAATACTTCATGCTGACCAGAGAAAAGTCAAAGAAAATAATTAAAATCAGATACTTTTCAATATTAAATAGCCTCAGTGGATGTCCTCATGTGTTCTCACGAGGTAGTCCAGGGGAAAACAGACGGCGCGATTGGCCACACGCACAAAAATTTACAGAATAAAAGAACAGAAGAAAGCATGAAACTCTTTTTTTTTTTTAAATAAAATATTATATTAAGTTCTACGTCTAGTGGGCTGGGCTGGATTACTGGAGGTCTGCATGTTTTCCCTTGATTTGTATTTTCCAAGGTATGGATAATGGCAGGTAGATAATTGATAAATACTGATCAGTAAAAAGCTAAAATAATAATATTAATTAAATCAGGTAATATTTTGTCTAAAGTAGTACAGTCCATGCTATGGAACTCCATAATAGAGAATCTGTGTTTGAACAAAATTTCTTTTAATTCCAGCAACAGTGCTGGAACTAAAAGAAGTTTTATTCAAAACAGATTCTCTTAAATCAGGTACTTTTCAATATTAAATAAACCTTGTGTTCTCACATTTGATCGAGGGGAAAATTCAAATGATCGGGTTTTTGTGGTTTTTCATCTATTTAAAGAAATACCAGAACTGATTTGATCCAAATTGTAGAACTAGTTACTTTTAGAATTTAATAAGTGCCAGTGGATGTCCGCATTACTCTCTGCACACTTACTAACTGTATTACCGCTAGTTACTCTCAAGGAAAACTCATATTGTGACAAAAGAAAAAATCGATGGTTATTCTTATGGTATTCATGATTGCTAATGGTCGGCCTATATTGCCGAAGTCCTTTGACATATTTTCTAGATGCCATGTTTTATCTCTTTCTAGAATCTAGTTCTGAATTAGTTTGAATTTATCAAGGAACTTGTATCGTCGATTCGGGATAAATATAAAAAATGACCGGTCAACAATGATCAGTTAGCTTATAGAACTTAACCATTATCAGTGGAAGTCCGCATGTATTACCACTAATTAGACTCTGTCAAAACTGAAATGAGAAGAGTTAAATGGATTGTTGACAAATAAAATTTCACTAGTGACACATATTTTATTCACGAAAGTTATGTTTACTGTTGGTTCGCTTATTCTCTTATCTTTAGCCATATTCACTGGATGTCTGCATATTTTTTCTCAAATATTACAATTGATCTGATACATTGCAAGAACTAGTTACGATTTAGAATTAAACAAATGTTCATTGGATGTCCGCATGTATTCTCCCAAGGTAGTCCAGAGGAAAACGCAAATGGAAAGAATTTTCTTTCTTATCGAAGCACTTTTACACTCTTTTATTATATCGAATTGGGATTTCTATATTAATTAATTTATGTTATAGATGGTCTTATTCCCGCCGTAATCATTTGCCATATCCACTAGATGTCTGTAAGTTTTCTCTCGGTTTACATTTTCTTTGTAAATTCGATTAAATATATCTAAGAAATTGTATACTTGGTTTTGAATAAATATATTGTAACAAATTATCTGATGAAATAGAAGAACCAGCTACTTTTAGAATGTGATAATTGATAATGTATGTCCGCATTTGTTACCACTCGTTGGTTCCTGTCAAAACTGAAATGAGAGGTTCCGTTCCCGAGAACTCATCGTCAACAAGACAAGAGGATCTTGAGCGTCCGCACCTGGCCTTTTCGGCCTTATCGGACGTTTTGATTCTCAAGATGAGAGCTGACGCACCTCCGCATACGACGGAAAAGGTGTAGAGGCGCCCCAGGCCCTAAGGGCCGAGGCAATCTCGCTCTCCGCTTGTCCACTCCGAATGGTCGGGCCCGCATTGTGCATCGGGTCGTATGCCGCACTCAAAGGGCTAACAGGCCGAAATACATCAGCCTGTTCTCCCGCGTACTCCCTAGATAGAGAAGGCCACTCTGTCTCCCTGAGTATAGGGGCTCCCCTAGCGTAGAAACTTCCGGGAACGCCCCGGCAGCGGTTTAGTTTAAAATGGAATTGCTAACCACACCCTAGATGAGCACCGCCTACGGTAAAGTCACTTATCGAGCTCAGCCTACACCTGCCATGCGCATTCGAGGGACGCCTAGGCTCAGCCTAGGTGGTTCGATCCTTCACTTTCCCAAGGGTACCACGCCGGTCATACGCACAACAAGCATACTCGAGTCAGAGACACCGATTCACTACCCGTTTCCGTTCGCTTACTCACGCATTCGAGGGCCTATTCAGCATGATCATCGCGTCCTCAACGCTTACACGAAGTCGTCCGGTCGCAACGTCTTCCGTGAGGCCGCGGGTAATTACGCTGGCCATACGCAAGCTTCACGAAGGTCACAGATAGGAGACAGCCTCTGTCTAAGTTCCCGCCAGGACGTGGACGCCACCACGAATCCGTTCCCAGTGTAACTAGAGCTGAATTTGGAAGGTTTAGTTACCCCGTGGTACAGATGGCCATACACCCTCCCCCGTCTATGCAGACAGGATCTAGTGCACTGGCCCTCGTGTGAATCTGCTAAGGCACCGCCGCCCATGCCGACACGAGTACAGCTTGTGCTTTAGAGAGGTTGCCACGCCCTCTGGGTTGCACCTTTATTTTGTGCCCGGATACCCCCCTAACAACCAAGGGTTGGGAGGGGTCACAGGATAGAATGAAGGAACTCGGATTGAGAAAAAAGGGCCGTGGGTGAGAACACGAGGTGAGCCGTTTCGGGGTCTCGAGTCTCAAACCACACTATACCACCTGTCGTAGTCGTAGTTCCACACATAGTGGGTCACGACTCCCAGGGTGGGTTGAAATGAGATGTATGTACTTGATTAAATTTTTTAAATTTAATTAATGATTGATGTTTTAATAACGACAGGTTTGTTACTCATTGTCTGTTTATTCACGCCGTAGTGTTTTGCCATATCTCTGCTAGATATCTACAAGTTTTCTCTTGATTTAGTGTTTTTTGTCATTTCTTTTGAATATCATACTAGAATTAGAATAAATATTTCAACTGATCTGATAAAATTTCAAAAACTAGTTACGATTTAGAATATCAAATGATCTTTGGATGGCCGCATGTCTTCCCGAAAGGTAGTCCAGAGGAAAACTCAAACGGAAATAATTTTCTTTGTTTTATAACATAATTGAATTGGGATTGATATATTAATTAATTAATTTATGTTACTTATGGTCTTATTCTCGCCATAATCTTTTATCGTATCCACTATATGTCTGTATGTTTTTCTCAGTCTAGTGTCTTCTTGTCGTTTCTTGTAAATACCAGAGATGTATTCTATATTTGGATTAAATATTATAACCGATATGGCAAAACATTCTGGTCTGACTATTTTATCTTTGATCCTGGCACACTATCAGTGCATGTCTGCATGTTTTCTATCCAGTGTCATCATGTTCCTTGTTAATGTAAAATGAATACAGGAGATTTATGACGAAATTCCAATGGAAGAGAGCACAAAGTTATAGGTTTAGTCACTTCTGTATTAGTTCGTTCGCTTTTTACTAAGCAGTGGTGACATTTTCGCATGTTGTCATTCACTCTCTCTAGTATCTTTTTTCTATTTTCTGAATATATTAACAATAGTATGGGTTATGTAGTAGTAAAAATCAATTTTGGCGTTGTTCCAACTTTGCGGACGGTTAAACTGAAGATGTTTTGATGTTGAAATATTCTAAGTACTTGCAAAAACCTAGAAAAATTATAAATTTACGTAAAAAAGCATAACAAAAGTTGAAATTAATTGCTGCCAGGTTTTGGTTTGATAGTCTTTTTTCTTCATTCTTAATTTTTATCATTTATTCTTTCAGCGATATGTACATGACTTCCATTGTAGAAAGAGATACGGTGTATATATGGTTTTGTTTAGGTGTAGTTAAAAAAATTAATGGGTCATGATTTTTGTTGAATGTCCTTAGCTCAGTGTCTCGAATGAATTGTTCTACGTTTGGCGTTTTCTTTAAACGTTTGCATTTACTCTGGATATTTAGTCCCCTGGAATGGAACGAACGAATAACATTTCTAATTTAAAAAAAAACCAGATTAATCTACATAAATCGTACAATCGTCGAGAGATCATTGTCTTTATTCGAGGACGAGCCTGGTTTCTCAGTCGTCGCGTATCTTCACGCAAATTTATCTGAAAACTTTGTGCGACAAATTTATTCAGTTCATACGTGCCGTCGTTTCTTCCTTTTAAAAATATCTTCTCGGACCGTGTAAAAACAGTCATAAACTTTCAAAAGAGTTTTCTCCATTTGGAGTCGTAGGCATACTGCCTTTTTGCAAGAAATTCCCAAATGACCAGTTATTTCAGTATTGACAGTTTAGTCAGTTGTGAGTTGATCTCGTATGCTTTGGATCTTATTGATGCACCCTTGAGATGGTTGTTATTTATTTCAAGTCTATTTAGACCATTTCCTATGTCTGAGCCATCTGTACACCATACAAGAGCTGCAGGTATTGACTTGCATATGGTCATATA